AGCACCAGGTACTCATTTGAGGCTGAATCGACCTAGGGGAGGCCCAGCACTGGTTCAGATGATCATCACTGGTGTTGACCATGGGCGGGAATCGAACTCTGGTCCCTGGGTTCATAGCGCAGCGTGCTGCTCACCGCTACGACACCACCACTACCCATTCCGATGCACACCCAGCTTACACGAAGCTACACGCACGCAGTCTCAACAAGACGCACCGATGCACACGTGTGCTCCCAACCTCAACACGCGGCTATGCAAAGATCCCCCGTGTAGCCTTAATACACTCTTGGGGCAAGTGCAAACACGCGGGGATATACACACGCACACAGCTCCGCCAAACACAGACGCGCACCCCAGGTTGGGAAGGAGGGGGGGTGCTACGCAAGGGTGGGGGGAGCATCACCCGAAGGATCGGGTCGGATGCATTCTTCGGAGGAGAAGCGTGTGACCACCTCCACCCGTGCTCGCCCGCCCGCTCCCACCTCCCACGTGGGGAAGACGGAACCCCTTCGTGGAACTTTTCTCGCTCTCTTGGGAGGAACGCCTTTTTCCGAGCCTGGGCCGATGAGTTTTCCGGCAGGAGGCAGGAATGCCGCCGGCACGCGGGGTCCGGGCGCTCCCACCCGGGCTCCCCCGTGGCACCTCGGGGATGCCCAGAATGATCCGCGCGGCTCGCGAACGGTGTGACGTGCCGCCCGTGTTCCCATTTCTCCGGCGACGCGGTGAATCGTCGCCGCTCTCGGCCGCGATTTGGTTCGGCAATCGATTTGTTTCTCGCCTCGTTTGTCAAGGTCCCCTTTTTTATTTCTTGGATCTGTACAGAACGCTTGAGACCGCGTCTCAAGACGATGCGCAGAAACGACGTGCGTGTTTATTTAATACAGTACAGAGAGCGAGAGAGGTCGTGAGTCACAGGCGGTAGAGAAGGGCCTGGACTTGGTTGGGAGTTGACGGCATGGCTGGCACGGGGGAAGCAGTTCCAGACGACAGTGACAGCGGAGGAGAACGGGCCACCTTCTCCTTGGTCCCGTCTTGTTTGTAAGCTCTTGTCCCCTCCGTGAGCGGAAACATTGACATATCGTGAGTAAATAATGTGTATAGTTCATAGCAAAAGATTATTCTCATTGGCAAGATTCATCACATTTATTGTCAACGCCAGAGTCGAGTTCTACCGATGAATCGGCGCATCCAGGGCTTAATTTCGCACTCACGAGTTTGTGGGTGGCTGATAGACAGTAGTAGACACGTGACTATCAGAGGGGGTATACCGATTGTGGTATGCCGGGCTGCGTAAATATTTTCTGGGTCCTCGAGATCGGAGATGGGCAGCAGCCAGGGTGGGGGGGGGGAGGTGGCTCAGCTGCAGGAACAAACCGCGGTGCGCGTGCGGCACGGAGCGCGTGACCGAGCGCCCCTCTCTGGGAGAAAAAAAAAACTGGAAAACGCCTCTCATTGCATAACGTCCCCGAGAAAGCGGTGTCGGAACACATTCGCTGCCCGGCAGTGAAATTGTGCCGGATGCCGGAGTAGCCGGTGCCAAGGTTCTACCGCCCACGGCAGGGACGGGGGTGGGGTGTTGCGCGAGCAAGAGGCGGGAGTGGGGGGTCGGCTGAGCCAGCCGCCGTGGTGGCGATGCACGCCTGTGAATCCTACGTTTGCCGACGAGGGTTGGTGGATCACACACAGATTTGCGAGGTTCCCAAAGTCGCTCAGGCTTCTTCGTGGCGGTTGGGAAATGGTCGTTGCGGCAGGGGGGTTCGTGAAGCCGTCCGTGTCAAGCTTTCAATGTTGTCGCCTTGAATCTGCGGGGTTTTCTCCACATCCAGTTTTCTTCCCACATGTACAACACTTCATTCACTGGCCTAACATTCCCAGAGAGTAGGACCTTCTTGTGCATAGTGCCACATGTACACGTGGGGATCGTGGCACAGTGGTTAGCACTACCTCGTGCTCCAATAATAACATTGGCGAATATTGGAACCGGTCCTGGGCGTCCCCTAGGTCGACTCGGCCTCAAGTGAGTAGTGTGTAAGCATCGGCACTGGGGAGTGGTACTGGCCACCCACCCCCTTGTGTGCCATGCAGCCTTCATAGGTGCTCGCTCCCAGCACTTTCCCCAGCAGTCTTTTTCAGGCTGTATGGGGGATCTTTGTCTTTTTATACATGCTGGTACGTGCGGCATGAGCAGAGGGCGGCATGTGCAGTTGTGCGTGCGCACAAACCCCCATCAGATGTGTTTCCAGAGAGAGAGAGAGAGCGCGGGTGTGTAATTTATTTATTAGGACTCCGTGGCTCACCGCCCACTGGGACTCTCGTATTTTCCCACTGAGTCAACAGCAGGAGAGGAGCAGGAATTTCATTTTACGTTCAATGTGCATTTGTTAGGAGCGGTGAATGTGACCCTGGGCCGAGGAAGGGGCCTGTGGGGAGGGGGAACCCCCCCACCCTCCCGGCTTTGTGGACGTGAAACATCTGCAGTGCTTTGTAATGTGAAACGACAATGCGTTAGAGTGCGGCTCTCCCGTGGAACACGCTAAGCCCGGCGCTGTCTCTCCGAATAAGCCGCGCCGTCACCGCGCTAACACCTGCCAAAAATACACCTGCACGTACACACATGCGTGCCCAAACACACGCGCACACACGTGCACGCGGGACGTACAGAGAACGCGCGGTGGAGGTGGACATTGCGGCTCCCTTGTCTCACTGCTGTCGGCGTCAGATACCCAATTTTTCTGACTTTGAAAATGACAGCGCAAGTTCCTTAATTGGGTTCCGCAGACAGCAGCCATTGTCGCCCCCCCCTACTTGCAGACTCATGCCCCTGGTTACTCCTGCAAAGGAGACTCATCCCCTGATCTCTTGAGTTCTCACTTGATTCAACAAAATAAACTTGAATCACTCACTCCTCCGTCCACACTCGCTCCTTCAACTTCACCAGTCCTACTTTTCCCTTCTCATCGTCTACCAGCACCTATTGTTATTCTCCCATGACATAGCATCACCTCCCATCACACCCTAACACCCCACCTCCCCCATCGTCCCCCATCACAGACCATCACCCCTGCATCATCACAGCTCATCTCACTCCATCAACAACCCCATCACCCCAGTGGGGTTGCACGCAGACAAGCTTGGCGGCGCTGATGGTGGCGCTGGCGGATTTGGGAAAGGCCACTCACAGAGCCCCTCTTTGAGCCAAACAAACGCAGAAGGTCACTCGACTGCCTCTCACTAAGCCTCGCCTTTTGTTTTATAAAAGTCGCCCCCTTGTTTTTCGCAAACACCCGGCACAGCCGCGCGTCTGTGGCTCAAGGCCACGGCCACCGCCTCCGCCACCATACGGGGGGGGCGTGGTAGAGGTGGTGGCCGTGGGAGTTTAGCGACGGCGCGATCGCCGCTCATCTCCTGCTTGTCAGCAGGGCCGCCCTCTCCCCAGCACGGCCGTGGGACCACGGGGGGAGCTCCGCTTCTCCGAGTCCCCCACGCTCGCCCTCCACTGCACTTGCCCCTCCGCGCAAGCCCTGGGTGGTGGCGCGGTGGCGTAGTGGTTGCGTGGTGGCGTGGTGGCGTGGTGGCGTGGTGGTGGCGCGGTGGCGCGGTGGCGCGGTGGCGCGGTGGCACGGTGGCACGGTGGCCATGCCACACGTGGGGTAATTACGCGTCTGTGCGGTAACTGCGGGGCGTAGATTCCCCGAGCGGCCCTGCCCCTGCGCTGCCGTGCACTGCCCTTGGCATTTATGAGGAATTTCCTTCCTGACACGCGCACTTACACAGCGCGTGCATGCATTCCCACGTTCCCACGTTCGTTCTGAGCTCCGGGCAGCGATTCCAGACCCTCGCTCCCAATCCCGCGCAGTGTCTCGCGCCACCTTCGTGACTCGCGTCCGTCAAAGTCGAGCGCGTTTGGCTGCTCAAGTGCCGTGGTCGTAAACCGCTGTCATTTCCAGCGGCCGCCACTAACCGCTTTCGTGGAATTGTCGTGGTCGCGTCTCGTTTGCGGCCGACAGCTTTGCGTCTACGCCCTGCGGCATCTTTCCAAGGCGCCGCGCCGCTCATTGGCGCTCGGATACCAAATCGCTCCACCGACGGCGCTCGGGACGCGACGGTGATGCAGGGATTCTCGTTTCAGGTCCCCTTGTTTTGATTAAAAATAGCGCCGTTTAGCTGAGTGGCACCAGGCAACGTGGGCGTCGTCACAACACGGCCCGGAATAGCCGTGACGGCGGCGATGTTGACGGGCGGTGGCGACGTCGGTGCGGGAGGTCACGCTCGCTGCTGGACGACGTTGGCTCAACCCAGCCACCTCCAGCGTGACGGGACGACGAGTGCAGCGCGGCCGCGCTCACCACGTCCCGTCACCAGGACCAGTCGCCGACCATGGTGGACGGGGACGGGCATGGGTTGGTGTCCGCTGCGGCTTAGATTAACCCTCTGCCCCCGTCTCTTTATCTCTCTCTCCGGCTCAACATTCCGGAATATTTTCTGCGAGCGATCATTTTGAAGAGTTCGTTTGCCAGAAAACCCTGAACGTTTGTAGGAAATTCCCCGTTATATTTATGGCTGTGTTTGCCTTGGCGGCTGGAGTAGAGACCCCCTCTCTTTTGGGAGCGGCCGCAGTAAAAACTTCGGGCTGAGTGAGTGCAGGGAGTGGGCTGGTGGAGCGCTCTGCCTCATCGTCCCCGTAAATCGAGAGGATGAGCTGGCACGGGGCCCAAAGCGGGCAGGACGGCGCCTCGTGTCCCCCTCTGTAAAGCCCAGACCTTTTATCCGACCGCCCTGGGGGAGGCAGGAGCCTTCGTGCCTCGCCGGGGAATTGAACGCAGCGGAACATTCCTGCGCCACGTCAACAGGCGGCGCGTAAACGGGCGCCCCGCGTCGCTGCTCATGCCGCCGCTCGGGCCTGGGACTCGCGACTCTTCTAGGGTGCCCGGCTCGAAGGCGTGAGGCCATCGTGACGCACGCCTCCCGCTCGTCTCATTCCACGCTGCTCTCTTCCGCAGGCCAACGACGGGGTGGACGGAGGCCGAGATGGCGACGCCGCGGGAGCTCGCGACGAACGGGCGGGGAAGGGGGAGGAGGACGAGGGCACGGCCGACCCCGCCGACGGACGGGAGGCCGCGCTTGGGACGAAGAAGGACGACCCCCCCGCTCCCGGAGAGGATCCCGTTCACCCAGCGGTGACGGCGGTGGCGCAGGGCGACGCCGGGGCAGACGAGGCTGACGGCGCGATGTTGACGAGGCCCCGGTCTCCCGACGGGGGCGATGCCACCGCCGCCTCCGCCGCCGCCGCTACGGAGGTGAATGGGCGTGGTGAGACTCCCGACGCAGGCTCTACCGTGCAGCTGGAGCTGGGAGACATCGAGGACGAGGAGGTGCTGGATAAGATGGTGAGTGTGGAGAGCGGCATGGCACTGGTGGCGCGAACCACCGGTGTTGTAATAATAACAATAATACAACAACAAGGTGATTTACGGACTGCAGAAGAGACGGTTGGGATTATTGCATCGGTAATCCCATGTCACATGACACTGCTCCTACTCCCATTCGTGTCCACCTATACCCCCCCCCCCAGTTGAACGAGGAGCGCGACGCCGACGTCCGCAGCCGGATTCGCGCCGCCCGGCGGGAGCTGCGGAAGAAGAAACGAGGTGAGGCACCTCGTTTTCACGAGCCAGGGATGGGGGGGGGGGGGGAGCGGCCGTGGGGTCGCGAAAAGGTCGCTCTCCACTGAGCAGGGGCGGCACTTCCCTGGCAGCCGACACAGTGGGGGGTCACTGCTGACGAGCGTTGTTAGAATCGCGTGGAACAAACGGTAAACGAACCGGTCATTGGTTTTGCGCACACGCAAACACGGACACGTGTCTAGCAACAAACACGGCGTGTTTAGCGTTTAAACTGAGAAACGAAGAGAGCTGCCAGGGTGGTGGAGTGGTCAGCAGCGCACTGCTGACCTTGCAGTCCAGAGATCGCCAGTTCCATTCCATCCACCGGCTCGGCAGTTTACACAATGGGGCGAGTTTATTAAATCGCCCTCCCGCCGCACGTGCGTCCACACAGCGGTGTAAAAGGGCACACCACGGTTAGTCGATAGGCACGTGGCATGTGCTGGGGTAAAGCGTGGGTACGCCCCACCTCTTCCACGACGTCTGGTTCCTTCGAGCGGGGAGACCCTTCTGCCAGCAGCGGCGCATGCAAGGCTTTTGGTTGAGACGCGAGGGGAAATGAACCGTTTGGCGCATTTCATCACTTGCATTCCACTGGAAAACGGTTACCGGCTCCTGACCTTCGTAACCGCTAACCGATTCTGAAAACGGTTACCGTTTGTCACCCCGGGTACCGACGATACCGTGCGCCAGCCGACGCCGTGGGGGTCCCCAACCGACCGAATGCTGTCTTCTGCCAACGCCACTAAACCCTCCTCCGCTCATTACGATTTCACTAATCCTCCACCGCCGCTGCCTCTGCTTCACCGCCACCCCTCGTCTCACCGCTACCCTCTGCTGCCCCCTGCTTTCTCATAGGCTGCGATGTTCCTGACTCGGAGGAGGAGGAGGGGGAGAGTGAAGGTAACGCGAAGAGCGGTCTGCTCCTCTCTCGTTCTCTCGCTTGCCGTGCACGTTTTCTGTCCTCCGTTCTTTCTTGAGACCTCGAGGGTCGGCGTTGATCCTTTTTCTGGGGGCTCTCTCATTGTTGGGCTCGAGCCGTGGAGCCGGTGGGGAGCTGCGGGGTGCGGGGTCGGATCGGGCCACCGGGAATGCAGGACCCGGCAGCGTAGCCGGCGCTGCAGGTGGCGGTGTCAATTGCTCGCCACGACATAAATCTCACCTCTCGTCGGCTGGAAAACGATTTGTAAGTTGAGCCACAGTAGAACCGGTTTATTGGGTAAATGCCCGGTGGCCCTGTTCTTAACCCTGGCTGCTGTACAGCTGCTGTGTGCTGTGCCCGTGGCATGTGTTGTCCTTTAGTTCCTGTGTGCCGTGTCAGCGGCCTGCGCCACTGTTCAGTTGCTGTGTCACCGTGCCAGAGGCCTGTGCCGTTGTGAGTTTCCGTGTCACTGGCGGGTTCCATTCCGTGTTGCCGTGTGCTGTGCCAGTGATGTGTGTGCGCTGAGCTACCGTGTGCCGTGATCTATGGCGTGCGCTATGTTCTGGTTGCTTTGCCACGCGACGGCTGTAGCCGAGCGCGAGGCTTTGTGCGCGAGCCGTGTCACGTCACCTCACTCGCTTGTTTTTGTTTCCTCCGTCCGCGGTCAAAGAGCAAATACAGAAGGGGACGGCGCGGCCGCCGGGTTCGGCGATCGTAGCGAAGACGCCGGAGGCACGGGGGGGGAAGCGGGACGGCGCTGCCCCGGGTACCGGCGGGCAGGGGGTGGCACGCAGCCCCGCCGCCACGTCCGGTGAGACTGGAATGCATGTGCTTGTGTGCACGCCTCGTGACCGTATGTGTGAGCGTGCGTGCGAGCTAGCGTGGTTGTGAGACCGATGATGCAATTCGTGGAATTCGCAGGTATGTGTGTGTGTTTATGTAAGCACGTAATTGTGGGGAGCGGTAGCATAGTGGTTAGCGCGTGGCGCTACGAACCCAACGGCCCGGTTTCGATTCCTGGCCACGGTCAACACCGGTGGTGATTATCTGAACCGGCCCTTAGCACCCTAATAAGTGCTTGCTGACACCTGCTTGCCTTTGACAAAAGCTCACCAGATCTCGGAAGCTAGGCAGGGTTGTGACTGCCCGTTGCTCGGATTAGCAACCGCCGTGAATGACACCGGCGTCACGGGCTGCTGCGGCGTGACATCGTCAGCAGGCAGCAGATCTAAAATCAATATAATTGTTATACTGCACTATGTTCCACCATCTACGCTTCCCACCGTCATCATCCCGCATTGCCCAGCCTGGGAAAAGTTGGCCAGAAAACCTCCGAGTGCTACACGGAGTGCAGAGATGCTTATCCAGCAGCGGATCGACACAGTTCAGTTAATTTATCAGGTATAGCCCTGTGAGCCATTCGGCTCTTGAATCGCATCGACAGCAGCGTTCGTGTCCGCACAGGAAAGCCGCAGGCGAGCGAGCGGCGTTTCTCTTTCTGTGTCCGCGACATTGCAGGGCGCAGCAGCAGCAGCGCCGCCACGACCTCCACGGCCGGCACCACTGCGGCAGACAAGGCCAAGGCCGCCCTGAGTACGTCCACAGCGCAAACGCCACCGCCACCCGCTCGAACCGGAAGCTCCGGATAGTGCGAGACGCTCGCTGTGACAGCTGTGCCGTGAGATGGGAGGGAGAGGTAGGAGAGTGCATGGAGGGGAGTAGAGTGAGATGGGAGGGAAAGGTAGGGGAGTGCATGGAGGGGAGTAGAGTGAGCTGAGTGCTGCCCGCCGTGACGACTCTGCGTTCTCGATGTTGTCCTCGCCTTTGACGCGGAACAGACGGCGCCACAACGGTGCAGACCGCACGGACGCCACCGACGGGCCAGACGGCGCGCATCCAGCCCACCCCGCCCAGCTCCGGGCCCCGCGTGGGGAGGTGAGTGACGGGGGGTGGGCGAGGGGGGGGGCACAGCCCTAGGCCCTGTCTGGGTTTTGACAGTCGGTCGCTCTTCATCGTCAATGTTAATGATTCGCCTGTGCGGGTCGTCTAGCTGTACGAGCTGCTACTGCAGGAAACTAAGATGGGGCTTTTGCTTCTGGCGTGATAGGGGAATGCTGCAGGTAGCCACGTTGGGCTACCCATCGGTCTGACCCCGTCCAACGGGCCCCCTGAGCTGGAGCACCTCGTGGGTGGAGGAGGAGGCCGAGGGGGCTCGTGGCTGCGTCTGATTGACCGCTCCTGTCGAGACTCGGGGATAGAAAGGGGGCTCAGTGTGGAGACTTTGCCGGGAGGGACCGCTCTGGGTTGGCGCTGGAGGCTGGATGCTCCCACATTTTGACTTGAGCTCGTGAAAGGACCGCTAGCAGCCTGGTCGAGGCACCCAATTGTAGCTGGGCGGGAGCTGGTTCTCTCAGGGGTGGAGGTCGGGCGAGCTAGGGCAGTGCGTGTCAAGGAGAGGTCGACTTGAGTGCCGCCCGTTCCGCTGTCATCAGCATCTTCGACCGCGAGGACTCGTCGCCGGTGGCCCACGCCGGAATCCGGAGCCGCGAGGCCACGCCGCGGGGTCTCGCGGGGTCGCGCGGATCCGGGGGGTCGCAGGCTCCGAGCCGCCGAGCCATCGTGGAGCGACTGGAGCGGCAGAGCGGCGGGTGAGTGAGACGGCGCGAATGAGACGGGTCGGTACAACGTTGACGTCAAAATAACGGGCGCTCGGATTGAATCGCGGCGATTCGCGGAGCAGTGCCGGCTCGGCGTGCGAGCGCCACGCTCCTGCACCACCAGGGGGCGTCTTCGTCCAGCGTGGGGATGGAATTTATGATCGTTCCATCCGAAACCTGCCTCAAATCCCGTGCGTTAGAATCGATGTCTTTTGATTTTGCGTGTGTGTGGTACAAGAACGTCGAGGGAACACGCCCGGGACGACGCTCCACTGTGGGAGACGGAACGATCGATTCTGGAATTGGCTTGTGCCGATGGGTGACGGTGACAGCTTTGGGAGGCCTTCATCCAGGAGTGAATTGATCGTAATGGTGTCTGCGATATCACGTGACCCCTCCAGCCAGTAGAGGGCTCTACATTTACCACAGTGTTAAACAAATCATCTATAAAAGAATCGTGATGGCCGGCACTTGCTGCTCCCAGCGGCGCCGTAAGGAACCTACGCCCCCAGCGTGGAGTGACTCGAACGGTGCCGCCCAGCGCGACCCCGCCGCCCCGATGGCGTTCGTTCTGAGCGACTGCCGAGTCGCGCGTGTGTGCGTGCGCTTTGCCGGGCCTGCAGGCAGCAGAAGACGGCGTCGCCGGTCAAGCTGCAGAGGGCCGGGAGCTTTGGGGCCACGACCATCAAGCAGATGCTGCTGGAGTGGTGCCGCGCCAAGACTCGCGGATACGAGGTAGGGCGCCGGCGCGGCACCGTGCACGCACCCAGTGCTGCACGCGCGCACGGCACGACGACGACAACGATAGCCGATAGCCGCAGAGTGACGGCGCTCGTTCCAGGCTTCAAGGCCATCGCATAGAGTGCGGAGGGCTCGCCCTCGGCAGGAGGAGGTCGCGGGACAGACCCGGGTGTTCTGGGTTGACTGACTCCCTGTACGCACCGAACAGACGAAGCCACGTGTCCCGTGTGTGTGTGTGCCACCCTGTCCCCCGCCCTGCGTGGTGAAGCATGTGGACATCCAGAACTTCTCGACGAGCTGGAGCGACGGGCTGGCCTTCTGCGCCCTCATCCACCACTTCTTCCCGGAGGCCTTCGACTTCTCCGAGCTGGAACCGCGCAACCGCCGGCACAACTTTGACCTGGCGTTCACCACCGCCGAGTGAGGCTCGCGCACGCACGGGCACGCACGCTCGGGCACGCACGCCTCGAGCACGCACGTCAAGGCTCACAAACACGGCTCAAACACGGCTCAAACGTGGCTGTAAAAGGAAGAGCAAACGGAGGAGTCGGAGCCGCGGTCACGCCGCGTGTCGGGGCCCAGCCACTGGGACTCATGGCGGAGCTCGCAGAGGAGAGCCACGCGGAGTCCCGACACTCCTTTTCAGGAGGGTCCTGCGTTGGGACGTTTGACCAATGCCACCAGCGGCACTGAATGTCACAATCTCCCGTGCCCCACGTCCTCCGCTGCCCTGGGCCCTTCGCTCGTCCTGGTGGCCGCACTTGCAAAAGAGACAAAGCTGCAGGTTGCCTTCAACGGGTTTCATTAAAGGCTCACGGGGACGAGCGCCACCTCGTGCCGCGTCCGCCCAGTTGCTGGAACAGCGCAAAACTACTGGGCGAGTACGCCCACCCACCCCCCTCCTCGCCATCACTGCCGTCGCAGCCCCCCTACGTCGTCTGTGATGGGGGGCAGCGGGGGGCGGGTGGGACATATTGCGCTTGACGCTTCCGAGGAGGAGCCCTCGGGAGGGGTGCGGCGGGGTCACCCCCCGCCAGGGTTCATTTCTAATTGCCGCGGATTAAGTTTCACTTTGGATCGGAGTCTTCCCTCTGTGCCACCGAGTGGAAGCGACTCGTGCGTATGTGTGCGCCTGCGTGGCCGCAGGGTTGAGCGCGTGCGTCCGTCTCGCCACGCGTCTGCGTGCCGCCTGTGGTTACGCGCGCGCTCGTGTATTAGCACGCGTGTGTCGCATGCGTTTACTACTAATGAACTGCATTTGTGTGTGCATGTTACGCGTGTTTTCTCGATGGGCCGTATGTTCGGGGTGCGTGGGTGTGTTGCGCGCGTCTTACTAATATGTTGCACTGTGTGTTTTGCGTGCTGCACGTGTGTGTTTTGCGTGCTGCACGTGTGTGTTTTGCGTGCTGCGTGTTGCGTGTCGCACTCGTGCGTGCGTGAACACGCTGCCCCCACGTGCGCGCCACCTCGCGCGCCACCGCATCCGGGCGCTGCCCGGAGCAGGAAGCAGGTCGGCTGCCCTCAGCTACTGGACACGGAGGATATGGTGCTGCTGCGCGAGCCCGACTGGAAGTGCGTGTACACGTACGTGCAGGAGCTGTACCGCTCGCTCGTCGAGAAGGGCCTCGTCAAGACCAAGAGCCGCTCCTAGCGGGCGGGCACGCGCGCCCACGCACGCGCGCGCACACGGTGAGGACGGCGAGCGCGCAAGACGGGCGCCCCTCGGCCACCGCGCGCGGCCGTGAGGGGCGCCGCCCCTCGCCAGCCAGAGGGGGAAGCTGCCCCCTCGCTTGGTCTCCTGCGTCTCGGCTCTTCAGTCTCTAACCCCGACCGCCGGCTCCTCCGCTGCCGGCCATGGCGCCGCGATCGCTGCTCACGAGACGGCGGTTCGCCGGTTTCCGCGACTCTAGAGCTGCCCGCGACGAGCGAAACGTGCGAGTGAGACGCGTTTAGGCCAACGCTTGGGAACAAACCTTCCGATTTGAAGCAATGCGAATGAGATGGTGAAAACGAGACGAAAATGCATCAATAGTTGAATCAACTCGCTCCTCCCTCACGCGGCCGGAGCCTCCAAGCCCTCGCACAGCAACCCCCTACGCCATCGGCAGCCAGGCTCAATCCACAGCGAGACTTCAAAAGGGGAGGTGGGGGGGGAGGGTCCCTTTCAGCTCTGTCAGAGGTGAATATTGTCCCTGGATTTTTGCCCGGATGGGCCAAACGTCCTGGTTTGGCTAGGACAGCCCCAGATTCCACCCCACCCCCTCTGCCCCCGAATCTGTTTGTTTTGTCACCGGTTTAAATTGTGCTGGCTTCACGCTCGACTTGTCTTCGTGCAGTAGGCAGGGCAACTCGAGTAGTGGGCGGTGCTACACGAGCAGTGGGCAGGGCCAGGGTCAGAACGAGCGAATCCAGTCTCTCGGTGGACGTGGACAGCTGCTGAGTGGGTGGGGCTGCCGAGAGGGGGGGGCGGCCAGATCGAGGTGCGTGCGTGTCCTGCTAAAGTCTCCAGACTGTGATCGCTTTGGACCCGGTCCCTGTGCCCACGTCCCGTCTCATCCATCTCGAGCCGATTTGTAAGCGGCGGCCTCCTTCTTCAACCCCCCCCCCCCCTACTCGCCGCTCGTTACCAGCAGACGTTTCTGCTTGGGGTCGAGTCGGGGGGGCGCGAGTTAGGGGGGGGGGGGGGCCGTTTGTCAGGTCGCGTTGGCTCCCGCCGCGACTCGCAACGCGTCGCCTCGTCGTGCGGTCCCCCGCGGCCCGGGCCACCCGCCCTCCGCGGTGACGCCGTCGCGGCGTCTCCCGGGAACCGGCGGGGCCGGGCGCCGCCACCGCCTCCTCCCGCGGGGGTGCAGCCTGGGAAAGCGCAAATTAAGGGCATTAAATCACGACCCCAAATGTCTGGCAGTCGGAAGTGCTCTCGTCAGCGCGCGAGCCACGGCTCAGGGCAGCTCTTCAGCAAAGCTGATCCCCCTCGCTCCCCTCCCCCCGTCTCTGTCCATGCCTACCCGCTCCTCCCTCCCCTTCCGCTCTTCGCCCCCCCCCCTCCCCTTGGCCCGTCGCACCTCCCTCCCCTTCCCCAGGAAGCTGGCGGCGTGCGACCCCCTGCTGGAGGTGGACGACATGCTGAGGATGGGGCCGCGACCCGACCCCAAGTGCGTGTTCACCTACGTGCAGTGGCTCTGCCAGCACCTCAAGAAGGTGCAGGCGGCGAGGGGCGCCGCCGCCGCCACCGACGTCACGGCCCCCGCCGCTGGTGCCCCCCACCCCCCCGCTACCTCCAAGTCACTCTAAGCCAGGTCACTCTTAGCCAGGTCACTCTTAAGCCAAAGCACTGAAGCCAAAAGCCATCCTAGTTACGGTACCGCAGTGTTGTTGTTGTGCGTACACGCAGCCATATGCTTGGTATGATGCTACGATCGTCATTCTCACCCAAAAGTGGTGCTCCACTTTGCGAGCCGCTCCTCGTCCCGGCCGCATGAAGGACCTGGCAGCACAGCTCTGGCACCGCTGCCTCCTGCGGCTGCAGCTGCTGCTGTCGCCAGTTGGCCGTGAGTGAGCAATCGGGCGCCACCGTGACTTGATTCCTGGATGGGCGACGCCACTCAGGGAGAGTTTGGGGTTCCGGTTCCCGGCCGTAGGGCCTCCGGCGACCACGAGAGCCCTCGCGCCGCCCCACGGTCTCTCCACCCCGCGCCTCTCGTGCCAAGTGAGCGGCCGCGGCGGCTACGAGGGGCATCCTGACCTCTCGCTCGGTGACCCCGTGGGGCCCTCGGTGACACCAGGATCTCGGTGGGCGTAGTTGCGGTTTCACGGTGTCTTAACGCACATGCACACGGCGCTTGCAAGGGGCGTCACACTCCGTGTGCGTGCGTGTGTGTGTATATATATAAATGTGTGTGCATAGCTCACGTTGACACGTATATGCGTGCGGGCGGCGTTTGGGCGGTGGTGCTGCCCGCGCCGCCCGCTGGGTTGTATATCCTGCACCGACTCACGCTCGCTTTGCTAAGTTATCGTCGTGACGGATGTCGCACTCCCCCCGCGGGGCTTGGCGACCGTGCCGGGGGGCGGCTTCCGCCGGGGAGACTTTGGGGCCGCATCTCGGCGAACGTTCACCTCTCGTCCGCTTGTTGCCGAAAATGCACCGGCGGCTCCGCCGTGGACTGCGCGCACCGCTGCGTTTTGGCCGTTAGGTGGAGATGTGAAGCTGGCGATGAAACGGAGGCGGGGAGACGCGCGCGGCGTGGAGGGAGGCGCACGCGACGACGTTGGCCTCGTTCCGGCATGGCCGTGAAGGGGCAGAATCGTGACCGGGGTGTCTCTCTGACTCAGATCCCGCCCATTCACCTGTCCTGATGCCCCTCAATAATCGCATCTTGGACCTGCCCCAGTCTCCACTTCTGACTCCAAGCCCAACCTACACTCTGACCCCAGTCCTGACCCCGATCATATCCCCGAATGCTGGCCCTGACCTCAGCCCTAACTCTGATCCCATTCTCGATCCTGATCCCATCCTCGATCCTGATCCGATGCCCGCTAACCACACCCTTAATCCCGATCCCGTCTGTGACCCCGAGTTCACCCCGGCCTCCGGTTCCGCCCGCGTCTCCTCGCCTCGCCGCTGTTTCCCGCGCCTCCGGCAGAGGGCGCTGCGCCCCGCCTCTCCGTGTCTCTCCCATGTCCCCGCGTGTCTCTCCCGTGTCTCTCCCGTGTCCCCCGCGTGTCCCCCGCGTGTCCCCCGTGTGTCCCCGTGTCTCCGCGCGCAATAAAACCCACTCCTCGCGGAGGCTATCACGGGACCGGGCTTGACTGATTCTCATTCCCTGCTTTCCACGGCGAGTGGTGGTCGTGGATGTTGTTGTGGTTGTGCTTGGTTGTTGTGAGGACAAGAAGCCAGCTCTGTAGCCGCGTAACCTCGTTTAGACGGGTGGGGGAGATATAAGGCGATGGGGCCACGTGATGGGCATTGTTGAAGAGAAGTTAAACTCTGAAGGGAATGTCGGCAAATAGGTTGATGAACCCTTCTTTGGACATCTTTTGAGTGGCATCTCCTCGTGGGTGGCGGTGGTTTTCTCCAGCTCCGACGATGTCATCCGTCACGCAACACGCTCATTAGAACGGAAATGGACAACACGTACCTCTCGTAGCAGGGCCCTCTTGAAAGGGAGTCTCTGGGCTCGGCCAGGCTTGTCAGGGTGACCAAGCGGAGTGGCAGTAATAACAATACATCGTCGAGAGGCGCCGGTGAGGACCTCGAGCGTGGTGACGTCATGACGGGTTGTCGTGTTTCTTGGGAGCGGTGGCGCGGTGGTTAGCGCACTGCGCTCCAGCCACAGTGAACATGTTGCGAATATACGAACCTGGTTCTGAACTTCTTCTAGGACGACTCGACCTGAAATGAGTGCGGTGTGTAATCATCAGATATGCTCAACACTGGGGAGACACGTGGTACAGGCCACACCACCTGGTGCCTCGCGCCGACCTTAATCGATGCACGCTCTGTGACGGCCCTCAGCACTTGCCCCACCAGTCTGCGCAGGCTACCCGGGGCGCCTTGGAAGAGTTGAGCTCTCGAGGGATTTACGGCTCGAGGCGCTGCGCTCTCCCTCCAGCCCCCAGCCCACGCGAAACTTCGCGATTCATTATTAATTGGGCGTGAGAGCCACGCGCGTGGGATGAGGATGATAGTGATGTGAGGATTATTTTTGGATTGTGCCCATTAAGGCCCGCGTGGAAACAACCTGCCGGGCTCTGAAGTCGTCGCTGTTTATCATCGCGTGCCCTCTTAGCCCGGGCAGAGTGAGCAAAGTGCTGTTAGCGAGCACCCATTAGGGTGGTGATGGGGCCAGCACCAATCCCGGTCGTCTTTGTCTCACCGCTGCTGACGCCCACACTTTGTGGCGGCGCTGCCTGGCTCTCGTTTTATGACCGCAGCGGAGCAGCCTCAGCGCCAGGGCATCAATTAGACGCCGGCGTCCACGGCGCTCGTTGACTTGGACAACGAAAGTTTGAATCGACACAATCCAGTTTAGTGTGGGACGCGGTGGTGCACTGGTTCGCACGCCGGGCGAGGTAACGAACCCGGCGATCCTGAGTTAGATTTCCGACGACGGCTAAAATCTGTGATGAGTGCTATCCGACCGGGCTGTTGGGTCCGGCAAGTCACGAAATCGTTTTGACCAGCGTGGTGAAGTATGGTCAAACAACCCCGCGACCGAAAGGCCGTGAAACCCCTCAACTCAGTCGTAGCTTCTTGGCAAGGCGGTGTGAATTCATTAAATCCCCGATTCAAACGAGTGGCTCTTATACGTATTTCATGTTCAGTGAGTTTCTGGTTACATAGAGGCTGTAGGCGATCTTATAACGCATCCCTTTATGCAGATATTCACGTTGATACATCTACAAATGCGTGATTTATGTCAAACCGGAGTTCCAGGCTTATCGCGGCGAGGTGGGGATTCGCACATCGCGAGCGCGTGTGGAGTGAATCCCCTCCGCGGTGGGACGTGGCACGCGATAGGCGACACGAGGGAGCACGGCTCGGTCCGTCACACGGAACCGTGAAGAACGCTGGTGAACAGAGTGGAACAACGCGGACGTGTAGAATTAAACAGCTCCTTCGAGACCCACAAATCATCGCACCTCCCGGCATTCCTCTGCGAAGACACCGGTGGTGGAAGCATTGACCGCATGAGGACATCCGCAGCATGTCGATACGCGCATCTCTTTCATAAATGGAACATTTAAGAGACGAGCCAAAGTAGCGCTATTTGAACTGAGGAGGTGGAATAGCAGAACGACACGAACTATCTCTCCCTCTCTCTGCTGAAGCCCTCTCGTCGTGGCGAGCAGCTGACCTCGACATTGGCTCTTGAACCACAGCGCTGCTGCTGCTGCCACCAGCAAGATAGAACTCGTGGCGCCGAGACGCGGTGGGCAGAGAGCGCGGGCCAAGGTACAAGCACGTGAATACTAACAGTAATACTCTTTTTCTTCAGCCATGGCCACTCCACTGCTGGATGAAAGCCTCAACAAGCCTGCTCGACAAGGACGCGCTGTGCGCATGCCACGTGACTGAATCTGGGTTTAGTCACTCGCCTGAATCATCAGGCGCGTGCAGCGTCTGACGCGACTTCGTTTGTTTTTGAACCGGAAGTCGATGAGCCCAGACGAGATATTTCACTCGTCTGCGATTCTGGATCCAGTTTCTCTCTGTGGCCAATTGACGGTGAATTAAGTGACCACGGTCCACGTGATACACGGCCAATGAATCAAGCCGTGAATTGGCCGTGTGACTACATCGGTTGGGCTGTACCGATTCCTGCTCTTCGCCTTGCGCCTATCGGGTTGCTGGGCCCTCGTGCATCGCAGAGCGGAAACCGTGGCCCGGGTTGCATGAATCGATTTCGTTGGAAAAAATGTTTCTTAAATTCCCGTCGGATGCACCGCAATGTTTGGGGAACGCGTTGCGCAACGCGGCCACTGCCTCTGCCTCTCAGGGTCCGCCCCGCGGCTCGCGTCGCGCTCCGGGGAGGCGGCGACCGCACCTCGCGCGGCGCGTGAACTCGTCCACGCGCCGTGCACACGCGCACGCCTTCCTCGTGAACGAGGCGCGAGTCGATTGGAGTCGTCTCCGCCGCCCTGACGAGGTGGGGTCGAGTGGAACCGCCGCCACTTGCGGCGCGCGCGGCGCGGGGCGCTTCACGGCACCCCGGGGCCCAGCGAGGGGGCAGCAGAGGCGGCCCCGCCTCGAGCGAGGTACAAAACGCCGACGCATCCCACGGGAAATAGAGGGGAGAAGTTGCTGCCGGGAAGACGCGGCCTTGAATGTTGCGTTGTTATTATTGCGCAACGGTCAATAAGCGGGACTTTGACTTGTCCCCAGAAGATTTGCAGACTTCCCAGAACAGCTGACGCACTAAAAACAAAGAACGATTCTCGGTGAATCGAGAAAGGTGACAACCACCGAGGGTCGCGTGGACAGGACCGAGACGAGGGCCCCAGCCCACGGCTGGGTCGTCTCAGGATCTCCCGGAGAGTGACGTGGAATCCCCGGTGCTGCATAATTCATTCGGGGGCCTCCCCCCCCCCCCCCCCCGCTTCCCGTCTCCCTGTCTCTATCGCCCCGCCCTCCACCAATCCAGCACCACCGCAGCCGCCGTCCCCAAGCGCCGCTTGTGCGGAGCGCGCATGCCGAGCGGCGAGGCGGCTCCACGGGGTCGCCACGAGGCCGTGGCCATCGATCGATCGTCTCCGCCCGCTGCGCTCAGTCCGCCGTGATCTGCGCAATTATTCACGGCGCGTTAAAGCCCCTTGCGTGAGTTCGAGCGGAATGCGCGCTGGGGTCCGGAGCCACTGGGATTTGGCAGGTGCGGGCTTAATGGTAAATATTGTACTGTACTGTGCTCCCACGTCTATGCTGCCCACCTTGATTTCAACAAATCATCCTCACGACGACTATCATCATCACCATTGCCTCATCCTCATCATTCTTTCTCATCGTCATCATCACCATCATCCGCATTCATTATCAGGGTCAAGGATGCGCCGTGAGTTGCCACCGTGGACCGGAGGCACCGTGACCTCCTGACCCTGGAGACCCCCTTTGGGCCCCTCCTTTCCCTGGGTCCGCCGATCCCCCGTGTTTACCGGTCGCGCGCTGCGGCTCGGCCTCTTCCCCGTGGCGACGCGCGGTGGCGCTCTCGATCAAGGCGAGGAGTCGGTGACCTCCGGCGCGATCTCGAGCCCTGCCGCCGCGTGATGTCCGCTCCGCCCACGTGGCCGCGGTTGGGCGCCACGTGGAGCGGGCAGCACGCGAGCGTTTGCGCTGCTCCACGCGGCCTCTCACACGCAGTGGAGGCTCCCCTCATTGCGAGTCTCATTGAGGAGAGTCTCAGAGAGTCTGATGGAGAGTCTTTATACTATAGAGTCGTATAGGGAGATAACTTTATCTTTTATGTTGTATGGCTGACATACACGCAGAGCAACGACTACAATTTCACATGCAAGCTGGTCAAGCCCAGACAACAGCGTCAGGAGCAGCGGAGTGGTCGTAGTGTATCATCATCATCGTCATCGCTGTGATGTCTCCTTCGTATTTGTGGATCGTGGCATTGCGTCGTCGTTATACGTTGTACGGTCTCTGTTCTGGATGACCACAGTCGCACCACGACTGTACATGAGTTATCCCCATCTACTGCCATTGTTTGTGCAGTAGATGTCGTTTGAAGTGGACCATGAGCTTCGTGGAAGATCAAACCCAGGGAACTTGTGCTTTGGGTCCATCACAACAAGCTGGTTTTTGTGAGTTATGTTGAACTCCGTTCAGCTCTCCAAACGTGTTCGGAGTCGAACTCTCATTGTGGAAGGTTAAGCGCATGGGTGCTGAACGAGCTTTGCGTGACTTCCAGCGATTACGGGGAGCACCTGATCGGGAGTCCTTTTCTAGAATCTTGATATGGAGTCTCACCGAGTGCGACCCCGCGCACAGAGCCAAGGTGGTGCGCTACCGCCGCGCGTCACCAGACCCCGCGGGCGATGGGGAGTTGCGAGTCGGGGGGCGGGGGAGCAACTTGGTGCCGAGCGCGCCAGCAGCAGACACAAACAAGGTGGTGCGTTTTGTACCCCCCCCCCCACCCCGGTCGAGAGGAATTCCCTTCTGGTATCCAATTAGTGCCGCGAAGGGGCTTCTTGCGATTGACGGGGTAAATATAGTTGGCAGGGGCCGTTTGATGTCTCCGGCCTCACGAGGCCACGAAGCCGATGAGATATTAAATTTAGTCGTGGGTCGGTTCCCGCACCGGGCGTCACGGTGCCCCGCAGCCCACGTGTTCGCTGGGGCCACCGATCCCTCTCCGGGAAGTCCACAGCGAGCGGCGCAGCCTCTGGGATTCGCTCGCCCCCCCTCCCTCCTGGCGCAGAGACACGGCGGGGTTCGTGCTCGGGGGAGGGAGCGAGAGACGGGGCGAGGGACGGACTCGCGTGACCCGGTGGAGGTGCGGGAGTTGGGCTCTGGGTTAGTGGCGTCGCGTGGTGGCCACGGGCCCTGCTGCGAGCCATGGAATGTGGTCCACCACCCCGACAGAGTCCGAGCGCCCCATGCACCCCTCTCCCTTCTCGTAGCCCGGGGTCGGGGCCCCTTCGCCCCATGGGCCCCGGAGCAGTTGCAGCGCCCGCAACCCGATGGCTGCGCCACTCGTTAGGGCTGCAGCTTGCGTCAGGGTGAGAGTTGTGGGGGTTTCAGGGTTCGGATAGAGGAAGGATAGAGGAAGGATCGTATACGATTCATATATGGCGAGGTGGAGACACGTGCGGATGTCGGGCTGGGGGTTAGATCTGGAGTTGGGGGTTAGGTTGAGGTTAGGGGCTAGATGCCAGTGCGGCCTGCCGCGGTGGCGAGATGTTGACTCCCTCGCATGGTATGCAGGAGATCGTGAGTTAGATCCCGACCCGGACGCCTGCTGTATATTTGGAGTTTGCATGTTCTCCCTGTGGTTGTTACGTGGATTTTTATCCGGGTCCTCCGGGTTTTCCCTCTTTTTAGAAACACGTGTTTAGAGTATTTGGCTGCTATGCATTTACACGAGCCACTTCGTTGTGCTAGCAAAAAGAGCTACATAGCTCAGTGGGCCTTCCCTGCTAAAGTAAAAAGCAGTTTAAACACAGACCCCGTGGACCGGTACCAGTCCGTGGCCTGTTGGGAACCGGGCCGCACAGCAGGAGGCGAGCGGTGAGTCCGCGCGTGCCCCCCCCCCCCCCCCCATTGTTTTATTATTCACCACTTCCATCCGCGCCTTTTTCCCACACGGCGCACTCGTCTCAGTCACAGTGTTGGTGAGCCCACAAGCTCTAACCCCGAGTAGCCACAAGGAGTTAAAAACAAACGTCGCTGGAGAGCTTCTTTGAAAAGGGGGAAAGACCCAATGAAGAACCCCCCCCGGTCCGTGAAAAAATTGTCTTCCACGAAACGGGTCCCTGGTGCCAAGAAGGTTGGGGAGCGCTGCCCTCACCTCCTTGCTCTGTCCCCCCACCAATCCCCCTCGACTTGCGGGGCCGCTGGTCCCGTCCAGTGGAGACATCACGAGACTGGAGCGAGGAGGAGGAGGTTACAGGATTTATTGAGGCACTATCGAGTCTGCGCGACGGGGCAGTTGCCAGCGACAAGAGGTTCCGCGAAGCGGTGACGCGAGTTGCGAGTGACGACTGCTATTGTAATCGGGCGCGTCACGTGGTACGTGCTCTCCTCTGGTCCGCGGACAACGCTCCCGTCTCCGTGGAGCGGTGAGCGAGACGGCGCCGTGGCCTGGTTCACGACGTCGCGCGGGGACCACGTGGCGATTGTGAGCGAACCCGCGCGTCGGTTACCCGGTGGCCGTCGACCCACAGAGGGTGCCAACCGGACGGTGGGCGCCCTCCAGACCCCAAGCCGCAACCTCGCGACCCCACGACCCCTGTTCGCGTCTTGGCAAAGGAAGCTGTGGAACTCCACGGTGACTCCGCATGGCATCACCGCACAGACTGGCCGCGCGGTGATGCCACGCGGTTAGTCCACGCGGTGACGAGGACGGCATCGCTGGGATAATCGGCGAAAAAAAAAGCACCCGGCGACTTGGAGCCCTGACCCACGTGGCCTCCACGGTGCAGAGCGGCGGTGGTGATGGCAATGATGGCGATGATGATGGTGTCGATGGCGAGTCTAAGAACACAATTGAATATTGACATGGGCGCGACTCGGAGCCCCGTGTATGTATGCGTGCGGGAGGGGGGAATCTTGATCCGTGCATCTCCTCTTCGAACTCTGCTCCGTGAACCCCCACGGCCGCCCCCGCAGCTTGGACCCTCGTGGAGGATCACAGGTCATCCCCGCCGCACATGGCCAACAGGATCTTCTGGTAGTCGCCCTTGGTCTTTGCCTGCCCCGACACAGACACACGCTCGCCCATCAGGCGGGGAGGGGGGGGGGTCACTCGCCCATCAGGGGGGGAGGGGAGGGGTCACTCGCCGATCAGTCTGGAACAACTCCGTGGAGCTGTAGTGGTGCAGGACATCATGAGGCCTCAGATTCGCCAACACTGCAGCTAACCAGTGACAATATCCGTGCACCGTGTGTATGTAATAGGCGACATTTAACGACAGTACCACTCACTCCACAGAGCAGATAGGAGGAGTCACTACTGCGCCAGCAGCTGCTTCACCATTGGGGGCATTGCACTGAGAGACAGTCGCTTCCTTCCCTGCTCCGGAGACTGCCCATTGCCACAATCGTCGCCCGTCGGGGCTCACCGCGAGGTCGCGTTGTAAGGTGGGGGGGGGGGGGGCTATCGGGCTGCCGAGTGGGACTCACGGTGAGGAAGGAGTACAGCGACTTCCCGTACTTGTCCTTGAACAGCTTGCGGATGTCCATCATGTCGACCTCGCAGCGCGACACCATCACACGCGTCAGCACCTTCTCCTTGAGTCCACCCTGCCACGCACACACGGGGTCACGATCCTCTGAACTGGTCCTGGGCCTACCCTAGGTCGACTCAGACTCAACTGAGTACCCGGTGCAGTGTGTAAATACCACCACGAGGGAGACAAAGGCGGCCGGGTATAGTGCTGGTCACCCAGCCCCTTGTGTGCAGTGCCGGCCTCATTAGGTGCTCGCTAACAGCACTTGCCGCAAGAGTCTGTTAAGGCTACACGGGGGATCTTTGTCTTTGTGCGCGAGCGTGTCCGTGTGCCTGGCCACTGGAGGCACGCGATGACCCCTGAGACGCCTCCCCGCCCTCCCTCACCTTCAAGGACTCGTAGAGTTTGTCAGCGAAGAAGCCGGGCGGGCTCTGGATGTACTTCACTGCAACAACAACAACAACACGCACCGCTCGGGTCACTGGGTTCGGGTCGGTGGCAAGGCGAGTGTCGGTGGGTGAGGGTGAGGATTGGCAAGGTAAGTGTACTGCAGTGTGGGTGGGTGAGGGTGAGGGTTGGCAAGGTGAGTGTGCTGCTGTGTGGGTGGGTGAGGGTTGGGATTGGCAAGGTGAGTGTGCTACTGTGGGTGAGGGTGAGGGTTGCCAAGGTGAGTGTGCTGCTGTGTGGGTGGGTGAGGGTGAGGGTTGGCAAGGTGAGTGTGCTACTGTGGGTGAGGGTGAGGGTTGCCAAGGTGAGTGTGCTGCTGTGTGGGTGGGTGAGGGTGAGGGTTGGCAAGGTGAGTGTGCTGCTGTGTGGGTGGGTGAGGGTTGGGATTGGCAAGGTGACTGTGCTGCTGTGTGGGTGGGTGAGGGTTGGCAAGGTGAGTGTGCTGCTGTGTGGGTGGGTGAGGGTGAGGGTTGGCAAGGTGAGTGGTGCTGCTGTGTGGGTGGGTGAGAGTGAGGGTTGGCAAGGTGAGTGTGCTGCTGTGTGGGTGGGTGAGGGTGAGGGTTGGCAAGGTGAGTGTGCTGCTGTGTGGGTGGCTGGAGGCTCCCTTGTGTGTCTGGCTTCTACGGCACCCACTCACCCAGCGCCTGGAACGTGTCCCTGACGTCTCCCTTCATCTCCTTGTTGATGGTGCCCTCCATGTCGATCTCGCTGAAGTTCTTGTAGACAATAAACACTGCACACGTACACACGGGGGTGGGGGGAGGTGGTCAGAGGACGTATCACAAGGCGGGGGGGGACCCAATCCCCGCGCAAGGTCGCGGTGACCACTGGCGGCCACGCACCTCTGTTGAGGTGGGGGAGGCTCCGCGAGGTGAAGATGCTGATGAACTTGGGGACGTCGGTGCCCTTCCTCTGCAGGCCGCCCGCAAACAGATCCTGCGCAGGGGGGGGGGAGGGGGGGGTTCCACTCAATCACTCGCGCGCCCGGCACGGCCCTCGCAGGCCTCGCGACGCCAAGCGGCCAGCAACGCGCAGCACGCAACGGGTAACGTGTAACGCGTAACGGGTGCTCCATCCCGGGTATTGATAGCGGCAGGTGATGTCCACCTTGGTAGAGCGGCAGCATTGACCACGTGTCCGCAGTTAAAGAGGCCTTGGCAGGGAACGGCGAACCCGGGTGTGCTGTGGTGGTGTGGGGGTGTGCTGTGGTGGTGGTGTGGGGGAGTGGCGCTGTGGTGGTGTGGCGGTGTGCTGTGGTGGTGGTATTGGGGGTGTGGCGCTGTGCTGTGGTGGTGGTGTGGGGGTGTGGCGCTGTGGGCGGTGTGGTGGTGTGGGGGTGTGGCGCTGTGTGAGTCTCACCCGCGCGTCCTGCTCCACGAGCTCCTCGTCGATGTTGCTGCTCTCATCTCGGTTCCCCTGGAGAGGAGGGGGGAGGGGGGGGGGTAGAGGAGCACAGATCAGAGGAGGGAACGATGGGGAACAGGGGGCCTCTTGGGGGGGCCCCCAGCAGCTGGAGGTTGTTGGCGGCAGGGCCGCGTGGCCGAGGCTTCCCACCTTGGCGAGCGCCAGCAGCAACTTCTGGAAGTCTCCGGACGTGTCCGAGCTGATGTCCTTCTCGAGCTCAACCTTGTTCACTTCGTGAGCGGACGCGGCAGGGGGAACAACGAGGGAGAGCGCGAGATCAGAACCGACTCGGGGCATATTTATTTATCACGGTTACCGAGAGGCCAGGAACTCAAAGCGCCCAGCGGCCAGCAACAAAGAGCACCGACGTCGTGAGTGCAGACCGCGAAATGTTGCTCGGAGAAGCCAGGGAGCGAGACGATGCGAGGGGACTCCAAAAGGGAAACCGAATATTGGAACGGGGAGCGTGCGGAGGGTCCCAGTACGATCGCGAGTCCGCGACAAACCGCCGCAGGGCAACACTCGGCACCCACCGGCCTTGTAGACCTTGCCGATCTCGCGCAGCTGCGCATTGGAGCGGGACACGAGGATCTCGATGAGCGTCTCCTCGTCCGTGCCAAGGCCCTAGAGACAGAGGGGGGGGGATGAGGTTAACGTCAATTACGAAGGTGAAGGGGCAGCCCTGCCAGTGGCGTAGCTAGGATATTTTGCGCCCGGGGACGAACTATAAAATTGGCGCCCCCCCCCCCCCCCGTTTAATCACATACCAAAATGTAATTACATGACATGTAGGCTGTGTGGTGGGATATATAATTTTTTAGGTTGAGGTTTAGATTTGTGCAGCAGTAGTTTCAGGCTGCCGCGCCCGCCGCAATAAGTTATAATGTGACGTTGTAAGCCTCATTTTGGCGCCCCTTTACCTTGGCGCCCGGGGACATATGTACCCCCCTGCCCCCCCCCCCCCCCCCCCAGCTACGCCTCTGAGCCCTGCAATGTCTCGCTGCTCTCGTCACTGCTGCGAGTGCGAGGAGGGATTGAGAGGGTTGGAGGGATTGAGGGCAGGCAGGGGAGAGGGTAGGAATGTTTCTCTACAGCTTGAGCAACGCTCCACCCCCACTCTCGTCCCAACCACTAAATCTGGACGGGACCGGAGTGGAATTTCACAGAGCGGGACCCCCCCACCCCACCCATCCGACCCCCCCCCCCCCCCCCGGGCTTCCTCCGCGGGCTGTCGGGCCGCCGCTGCCCAGGCAGTGATCTCACTGCCAGGAAACGGAGCGAGGCCGCGTACAGTGGCGCCAACACAGATGTGAAACAGCTACAGCAGCTACAGCAGCTACAGCTACAGCAGCAGCTACAGCAGCTACAGCTACAGCAGCTACAGCAGCTACAGCAGCTACAGCCAGAACTACATCAGCGTCTGATCTGCGTCCCTACGCAGGCGGGCATCGTGCGAGGTGCTTCGACTCTTCCCTTCCTGCCCCCCCCCGGCCCACTCCCACCACCCCCCCCCCCCCCGACTGGCGATTCGATTAACTGTTGACTTGTGAGCGGGGTCTGTTGCGTTTAACATTGCGGTGAATGTTTGCAACTTGGAGGAAACCATCGACAGAGCAAATCGATTCCCACCCCGCTATTTGGCACCACTTGCGGTGAACGTTAGCCAGACGTCGGGGATGGACTTGCTCTCGGCATAGGAATGTCGAGGGTCAGCAGCGGACAGAGTGACCGACTTGGAGGCGGTCTCGTGTTTAAGTAGAACGTGAAGCGGCATCGACCCTGCCGCGATGAGCGCTGTGAGATGGCGCGCTCGGGCAGCTTTGCTCGTGGCGCGGGGAGAGAGAGACGGGGGGGGCTCTGTTCCGTGGCGCGGGGAGCCCGGGCTGAGCCAGGCGCTGGACTGGGTCGGGTCCAGAATAAGCGGTGGCGGGGCTGGGGGTGTGGAAGTTGGGGCGAGGTGGTGGAGCGAGCGGTGGGGCGACCGGTGGGGCGAGCGGGCACACCCATTCACTGTTGAAAGGGTTCGTAAACCCTTTTACGCGCACGCACATCCACACGCGCGCGCTCTCTCTCGACTCGCACCCACAAATACAGGCAAAGGCCATCCGTATAGCCTCCAGCAGACTGTTGGGGCAGGTGCTGTTAAGCGAGCGCCTACAAAGGCCCGCACGGCACAACAACACGCCCAGCCGCCTTTGTCTCCCCAGTGCCTGTGTGTGTATGCATCGCACCAGGTACTCGTTGAAGACCGAGGGAGATCGAGGACCGTTTAAAATATTCGACACTGATGTTGGAATCCAACTCGGGTCGCCGGGTTCGTAGTGCAGTGCGGTAACCGCTGTGCCACGGCTCCCGTACACACACACTAGTCCCGTACACACACACACGCGCGGAGTCGCGTTCGCAGTCTTTCGTCGAGACATCCCAGACGCGGACCCCCACACCCGCCCAACCCGCACGCGCGGCACACCCAAAGACAAAGACAAACGTCCCCCGTGTAGCCCACACGACGCTGTTCGGGCAAGTGCGGTCACGGCCGGACCGGCCCACGTGACCAGCACCGCGTCTCCCCAGTGGCGACGTCCACCAGGTTCTCGTTCAGGGCTCAGTCGACCCCAGGACCCCTTCAGATGTTCGCAGGCGGGAGTCGAACCCAGGTCTTCTTCTTCGTCACACACACGCGCGCCACGCACTCAACTAGTAAGTGGTGACGTCACCACGGCGTTTGTGCCAGGCTGGGTGCACCTTGAGGCCACGAGGCGTCGGAGGCTCGCTGGCAGGAGGTGACGGGACAGGTGTTGTGCGCCACCCACGCACACACTGAACACGGAATGTCACAGTCTCTCTGATCTTACACAGTCTGACTGATGGTACAGTCTGACTGATGGTACAGTCTGATTGATGCTACAGTCTGACTGATGGTGCAGTCTGGCTGATGGTACAGTCTGACTGATGGTACAGTCTGACTGATGCTACAGTCTGACTGATGCTACAGTCTGACTGATGCTACAGTCTGACTGATGCTACAGTCTGACTGATGCTACAGTCTGACTGATGGTACAGTCTGACTGATGGTACAGTCTGACTGATGGTACAGTCTGGCTGATGCTACAGTCTGATTGATGCTACAGTCTGGCTGATGCTACAGTCTGGCTGATGCTACAGTCTGACTGATGCTACAGTCTGACTGATGCTCAGTCTGATTGATGCTACAGTCTGGCTGATGCTACAGTCTGATTGATGCTACAGTCTGATTGATGCTACAGTCTGATTGATGGTACAGTCTGACTGATGCTACAGTCTGGCTGATGCTACAGTCTGGCTGATGCTACAGTCTGATTGATGGTACAGTGTGACTGATGGTACAGTCTGATTGATGGTACAGTGTGCTCCCACGGTATTTACATCCTATGGTCTTCGCCAGTGACCGCAATGCGCTGGCAGCGACTCGCGGAACGCGCTGCGATGGGAGAGACTGCCCGGGCCGGTTTCACAGCTCGTCCTGTAAGCGTTGACAGGCCAGCGGACGGCAGCACCGCAATGGATCGTTGCATCTATCTGTGCGGAGCATTGAGGGTCGTCGCTCTCCACCCCTACTTCTTGTGCGTGCTGGGTTCTCTCCAGGGGTTATCGGGCTCCCTCCCACACGAAGCCAACCTCTCAACAATGGTGGAGCTCATAGCCAACATCCCAACCCTCCTGATAACGAGTCTTGTGACTCCGAGAGGCGAGTCTGGGCGAGTGAAGGAGGCACGGCGATGCCGCCGCTGCTGCTGCGATGCCGTGAGGAGGCCTCGTGGAGGGCGCGGCTGCTGGGATCGAGGAGTCACCGCACAGGGCGACATCGCACCGACGGTCCCACGGCGCTGCCAAGCGGGCGTGACGCGGTCCACCCAGAGCCGCGACTCCAGCAGAGACGACGGCTCCTGATCCACCTCCACTCACCTCCACTCACCTCCACGTACCCACCCTCGCCATTAACTCCTCAGCCCGTCCACTCACCCCCTCGACTCTCTCTCACGACACCTCACCCTGCTCCACCACTCAAATCCTCACCGCCTGCACCCCCCCCCCCACTCACCCCCCTTTCACCTCCTTACCCCCACCCCCCGCTCACCACCTCATCCGCTCACCTCCACGCAAACCCCTCGCCCTCCTCACCCCCCCCAGCCACTCACCTCTACTCCTCACACCCGCACCCCACGCCTCACCCCCTCCACTCACCTCTCCACTCGCCCCCTCCACCCCAATCCATCCTCCACTCACCCTTTAACATCTCACTCCCCCTCACCCTCCTCACCCTCCTCACCCTCCTCACCCTCCTCACCCCTCACCTTCATGGACCAGTTGAGTTCGTCAGCGTCGAACTCGGCGGGGCTCTTGAGGAGTCCGAGCACCACGGACTCGAGGCGTCCCGACAGCGCCGCCTTGAGGGCACTCGGCAGGTCCTGGGGGCGGGGCAGGGGGGGACGGGGATGCGGTGGGGGAGAGGGGGGGCCCGTGAGGGGTCAGGAACTCCCCGTGAAGAGGTGGAGGGGGCTCCTCGTGGGGCTCCGCGTCGCTCCTCGCCCGAGGCCACGGCGCCTCCACTCCCCGTCCCAGCTTGGGCCCCGTATTTGGATTTTGAAGAAGAGGATCTCACTTCCCCCCCCCTTCTCACCCCCCTCCTCACCCCCCTCCTCCTCACCCCTCCTCACCCCCCCCCCCCTCCTCACCTCCCCCCCTCACCTTGCCGTAGAGCTGCTGGTAGGACTGCGCGATGGCGCGCCGCTGCACGTTGCTGCGGTCGGTGAGGACGTCGATGATCTTCAGCTCGTCCACTCCTGTCGGTCGCGGGGGAGGGGCGAGTGCTGGGTGAGCAGTGGCGAGTGGCGGTGTGAGTGAGTGGAGGTGAGTAAGTGGCGGAGTGAGTGAGTGGAGGTGCGAGTGAGTGGCGGTGCGGGTGAGTGGAGGTGCGAGTGAGTGGCAGTGTGAGTGAGTGGCGGTGTGAGTGAGTGAGTGGCTGTGTGAGTGAGTGGCGGTGTGGGTAAGTGGCGGTGTGGGTGAGTGAGTGGCGGTGTGGGTGAGTGGCGGTGTGGGTGAGTGGCGGTGTGAGTGAGTGGAGGTGCGAGTGAGTGGCGGTGCGGGTGAGTGGAGGTGCGAGTGAGTGGCAGTGTGAGTGAGTGGCTGTGTGAGTGAGTGGCGGTGTGGATAAGTGGCGGTGTGGGTGAGTGAGTGGCGGTGTGGGTGAGTGAGTGGCAGTGTGGGTGAGTGGCGGTGTGAGTGAGTGGCGGTGTGAGTGGCTGCGTGGGTGAGTGAGTGGAGGTGCGAGTGAGTGGCGGTGTGAGTGAGTGAGTGGGGGTGTGGGTGAGCGAGTGAGTGGCGGTGTGAGTGAGTGAGTGGAGGTGTGGGTGGGGGCGAGCTGTGGCGAGCTGTGGCGAGTGGTGCGCACCCTTGGTCTTGATGGCGGCTTCGATGGCCTCGGCATCGGATTTGGCGTTGGAGTTGGGCTGGGTCTTCTCCACCCCGCGGAACGAGGTGAAGGGAATCTGCGGCGTGGCGGTGAGAGAGGGGTAAACTATAAACGGGTTGCCCGCGATTAGCCCCGCACCTCCGATGGGCACGGTCGGCTACGTAGGGTGCGAAAGAAGTTCAGAGGCACAGTTCGCGTGTGGCCGGTGGGTTAAAGTGTGGGGGTACTTCCCACACGTCTGGCCAGCGTGGGAAGAGTAGGCCAAATACCCTCGGCAGCTCCCTCTCGCGGAGGCCACTTCCCCAGCAGTAGCGCGAGCGAGCAATTGCAGGGCTGCGCCTTTTACCCGACGAGGATAAGCAGTCCCCCCCCCCCCGTCCCGGGGGACCCCTGCGAGGGGACTCACCGGGAGCTCGGTGTCCCCCTCGCCGCGGTTCATGTGCTTCATCAGCTCGTGGACCATCATCTTGGCAGCGTGCAGTGGGACCTGAGCAGCCGCGCACAGGGACACGGCGACACGAGTCGGACACCGGTGCGGAGGAGAAGGCGCGGGGGGGAGACAGGAGCGCCCCCCCCCCCAGCCGCACCCCGAGTGTGACAGCACTCATCCCCACTCGGCCACGGGGGTCCGGACGAGGTCTGGGAACAATCGCGCGATTATGAAACGACTCGGCGGCCTGGCAGGAGCAGGAACAACACGAACGCGAATCCGCGTCTCGTCCGAGCCAAACGGCACGGGGGGCACGTGACGAGCCCCCCCCCTACCCATCCCGCCCGGGGCGCCGCGGGGCTCGCGAAGGAGGAGAAGCCAAGAGGGGGAGGGGGGATTGGGGGAGGGGGGATTGGGGGAGGGGGGTAGGGGGAGGGGTGGGGGGTCTTCACTGAGGTCTGGGATGCAGCCAGGGGATGGGGAGAGAGAGAGACACTTCGATACGTGGAGAGAGACACTTCGATACGTGTGGAGACCCACACTCGGATACATCGAGACACGCAGTGATACGTGTAGAGAGACACAGATCTACAAATAGATGCACACGCGCTTGCACAGAGGCAGATCGATGTGTGCACACAGAGCCACAGACAGCATTGCTAATGAGCTCGCACACAAAAGACACGAAAACAGAGAAACAGCAATAGCTGAGACGCATTAACACACGCTCGCTCCGTAATACACGGATCATTCAGACGCCCGGATACATGACACCCACTCACACACACACAAACTCATAAATAAACACTGCGCTCTGACACTTGGGGATACAAAACACGGTGATATGAGACGCACACACACACACACACGTACACACACACACGGACACGTCGAGAGACAGGGTGAGTGTCTTGTATATATCACAGAGGCATTTGGAACACTGCGTCAACATAATAACGAAACGATGTTACCAGGTAAAGCAACACTTTACCTAGGGATCTGGCCACACATTGTGATAGGTCATCCAGTGACGTTACCTTCATTTGTGATCATTTATAGGAGCAGCCAAACAATCCAAACGCCTCTTCTCAATGTGGAGGGCAACACCGGAGGAACCCGGGACAAGAACCGACGCGTCCTCCACGTGGAGAGAGAGAACGACGCAACGACACCGCGCACAGGCGTCGGGAGGGTCCCCGAACGAACCCATCACCTCCTTCGTCGCAGGCGAGGAAGCTAACATCTCCTCGCCATCGCAGCGTCTAAAAAGATAGACCCCCCCCCCGCAGACTACCCCCGCAGACTACCCCCGCAGACTACCCCCGCAGACTACCCCCGCAGACTACCCCCGCAGACTACCCCCGCAGACTACCCCCGCAGACTACCCCCGCAGACTACCCCCGCAGACTACCCCGCAGACTACTCCCGCAGACTACTCCCGCAGACTACTCCCGCAGACTACTCCCGCAGACTACTCCCGCAGACTACCCCCGCAGACTACTCCCGCAGACTACCCCCGCAGACTACCCCCGCAGCAGACTACTCCCGCAGACTACCCCGCAGACTCGCAGACTACCCCCGCAGACTACCCCCGCAGACTACTCCCGCAGACTACTCCGCAGACTACTCCCGCAGACTACTCCCGCAGACTACCCCCGCAGACTACCCCCGCAGACTACCCCCGCAGACTACTCCCGCAGACTACTCCCGCAGACTACTCCCGCAGACTACCCCCGCAGACTACCCCCGCAGACTACTCCCGCAGACTACTCCCGCAGACTACTCCCGCAGACTACCCCCGCAGACTACCCCTGCAGACTACTCCCGCAGACTACTCCCGCAGACTACTCCCGCAGACTACCCCCGCAGACTACTCCCGCAGACTACTCCCGCAGACTACTCCCGCAGACTACTCCCGCAGACTACCCCCGCAGACTACCCCCGCAGACTACTCCCGCAGACTATTCCCGCAGACTACCCCCGCAGACTACTCCCGCAGACTACTCCCGCAGACTACTCCCGCAGACTACTCCCGCAGACTACTCCCGCAGACTACTCCCGCAGACTACTCCCGCAGACTACTCCCGCAGACTACCCCCGCAGACTACCCCCGCAGACTACCCCCGCAGACTACTCCCGCAGACTACTCCCGCAGACTACTCCCGCAGACTACCCCCGCAGACTACCCCCGCAGACTACTCCCGCAGACAACTCCCGCAGACTACTCCCGCAGACTACCCCCGCAGACTACCCCCGCAGACTACCCCCGCAGACTACCCCCGCAGACTACTCCCGCAGACTACTCCCGCAGACTACCCCCGCAGACTACCCCCGCAGACTACCCCCGCAGACTACCCCCGCAGACTACCCCCGCAGACTACCCCCGCAGACTACCCCCGCAGACTACCCCCGCAGACTACCCCCGCAGACTACCCCCGCAGACTACTCCCGCAGACTACTCCCGCAGACTACTCCCGCAGACTACCCCCGCAGACTACCCCCGCAGACTACCCCGCAGACTACTCCCGCAGACTACTCCCGCAGACTACTCCCGCAGACTACCCCCGCAGACTACCCCCGCAGACTCCCCCCGCAGACTACCCCCGCAGACTACCCCGCAGACTACTCCCGCAGACTACTCCCGCAGACTACTCCCGCAGACTACGCCCGCAGACTACCCCCGCAGACTACCCCCGCAGACTACCCCCGCAGACTACTCCCGCAGACTACCCCCGCAGACTACCCCCGCAGACTACCCCCGCGATCCCCCGGGGCTGCTCGGGCCGATGCCGACCCCGTTCCCCGGGATGTGGAGTCGGAGCAGCTCACGCGCTCGCAGTTCCCCGTCTCCAAACCGCCCCCTCGTCCCCCTGTGAGCGACTAAGGGGGTCTGCGTCCCCCTTGCCCAGACCCCTGTGAGCCTCTAAGGGGGTCTCCTCCCCCTTTCCCAGACCCCTGTTTGCCGGAATATCGACTGCCCGCACCCCGAGCACGCGATGCGCCGCAGTGGTTCCAGGCGACATTGTCGCCAGCAACTGGCGCGTGATGTCGCTCTGTCGCCTGACGACACGTCACCGCTCTGCTGTGGAGGATCGTTGCCCGAAACGTCACCGATCATATATTTTATTTTAAGGCCACACGCGGTGTTATTGACAAGGGACGCGTTGTTGTTTGTGCACCACTGCCAATGCAGCAGCAGCCACAGTTCCGTGTTGTTGTAAAATGAACTCTAATTGTCTCGAGCCCACACTTCGTGCCCTCTGGGTCAGAAGTGTTTCGGCTCGAGACGACCTCATCCAGCAGTGGATAGAGCAGTGAGTGTCTCGGCTCGAGAATAACTCTGGGGGGGGGGGGGGGGGTGGGCGGGACGTGCAGCTACCAGACCAGGTGGCCGTAGCTGACTCGAGTAGTCGAATGGCGACGCTGGCGAGTCGCGTTGGTAACAGTCGCAGGTGACGACTGTTACTGCCCGTGACGACTGTTACTGCCCGTGACGACTGTTACTGCCCGTGACGACTGTTACTGCCCGTGACGACTGTTACTGCCCGTGACGACTGTTACTGCCCGTGACGACTGTTACTGCCCGTGACGACTGTTACTGCCCGTGACGACTGTTACTGCCCGTGACGACTGTTACTGCCCGTGACGACTGTTACTGCCCGTGACGACTGTTACTGCCCGTGACGACTGTTACTGCCCGTGACGACTGTTACTGCCCGTGACGACTGTTACTGCCCGTGACGACTGTTACTGCCCGTGACGACTGTTACTGCCCGTGACGACTGTTACTGCCCGTGACGACTGTTACTGCCCGTGGACGACTGTTACTGCCCGTGGCGACTGTTACTGCCCGTGGCGACTGTTACTGCCCGTGGCGACTGTTACTGCCCGTGGCGACTGTTACTGCCCGTGGCGACTGTTACTGCCCGTGGCGACTGTTACTGCCCGTGACGACTGTTACTGCCCGTGACGACTGTTACTGCCCGTGACGACTGTTACTGCCCGTGGCGACTGTTACTGCCCGTGGCGACTGTTACTGCCCGTGGCGACTGTTACTGCCCGTGGCGACTGTTACTGCCCGTGGCGACTGTTACTGCCCGTGACGACTGTTACTGCCCGTGACGACTGTTACTGCCCGTGACGACTGTTACTGCCCGTGACGACTGTTACTGCCCGTGACGACTGTTACTGCCCGTGACGACTGTTACTGCCCGTGACGACTGTTACTGCCCGTGACGACTGTTACTGCCCGTGGCGACTGTTACTGCCCGTGGCGACTGTTACTGCCCGTGGCGACTGTTACTGCCCGTGGCGACTGTTACTGCCCGTGGCGACTGTTACTGCCCGTGGCGACTGTTACTGCCCGTGGCGACTGTTACTGCCCGTGACGACTGTTACTGCCCGTGACGACTGTTACTGCCCGTGACGACTGTTACTGCCCGTGACGACTGTTACTGCCCGTGACGACTGTTACTGCCCGTGACGACTGTTACTGCCCGTGACGACTGTTACTGCCCGTGACGACTGTTACTGCCCGTCCCGTGACGACTGTTACTGCCCGTGACGACTGTTACTGCCCGTGGCGACTGTTACTGCCCGTGGCGACTGTTACTGCCCGTGGCGACTGTTACTGCCCGTGGCGACTGTTACTGCCCGTGGCGACTGTTACTGCCCGTGGCGACTGTTACTGCCCGTGGCGACTGTTACTGCCCGTGACGACTGTTACTGCCCGTGACGACTGTTACTGCCCGTGACGACTGTTACTGCCCGTGACGACTGTTACTGCCCGTGACGACTGTTACTGCCCGTGGACGACTGTTACTGCCCGTGGCGACTGTTACTGCCCGTGGCGACTGTTACTGCCCGTGGCGACTGTTACTGCCCGTGGCGACTGTTACTGCCCGTGGCGACTGTTACTGCCCGTGGCGACTGTTACTGCCCGTGGCGACTGTTACTGCCCGTGGCGACTGTTACTGCCCGTGGCGACTGTTACTGCCCGTGGCGACTGTTACTGCCCGTGGCGACTGTTACTGCCCGTGGCGCTGTTACTGCCCGTGGCGACTGTTACTGCCCGTGGCGACTGTTACTGCCCGTGGCGACTGTTACTGCCCGTGGCGACTGTTACTGCCCGTGACGACTGTTACTGCCCCGTGACGACTGTTACTGCCCGTGACGACTGTTACTGCCCGTGACGACTGTTACTGCCCGTGACGACTGTTACTGCCCGTGACGACTGTTACTGCCCGTGGCGACTGTTACTGCCCGTGGCGACTGTTACTGCCCGTGGCGACTGTTACTGCCCGTGGCGACTGTTACTGCCCGTGGCGACTGTTACTGCCCGTGGCGACTGTTACTGCCCGTGCGACTGTTACTGCCCGTGACGACTGTTACTGCCCGGGACGACTGTTACTGCCCGTGACGACTGTTACTGCCCGTGGCGACTGTTACTGCCCGTGGCGACTGTTACTGCCCGTGGCGACTGTTACTGCCCGTGGCGACTGTTACTGCCCGTGGCGACTGTTACTGCCCGTGGCGACTGTTACTGCCCGTGGCGACTGTTACTGCCCGTGGCGACTGTTACTGCCCGTGGCGACTGTTACTGCCCGTGGCGACTGTTACTGCCCGTGGCGACTGTTACTGCCCGTGGCGACTGTTACTGCCCGTGACGACTGTTACTGCCCGTGACGACTGTTACTGCCCGTGACGACTGTTACTGCCCGTGACGACTGTTACTGCCCGTGACGACTGTTACTGCCCGTGGCGACTGTTACTGCCCGTGGCGACTGTTACTGCCCGTGGCGACTGTTACTGCCCGTGGCGACTGTTACTGCCCGTGGCGACTGTTACTGCCCGTGGCGACTGTTACTGCCCGTGGCGACTGTTACTGCCCGTGACGACTGTTACTGCCCGTGACGACTGTTACTGCCCGTGACGACTGTTACTGCCCGTGACGACTGTTACTGCCCGTGACGACTGTTACTGCCCGTGACGACTGTTACTGCCCGTGACGACTGTTACTGCCCGTGACGACTGTTACTGCCCGTGACGACTGTTACTGCCCGTGGCGACTGTTACTGCCCGTGGCGACTGTTACTGCCCGTGGCGACTGTTACTGCCCGTGGCGACTGTTACTGCCCGTGGCGACTGTTACTGCCCGTGGCGACTGTTACTGCCCGTGGCGACTGTTACTGCCCGTGACGACTGTTACTGCCCGTGACGACTGTTACTGCCCGTGACGACTGTTACTGCCCGTGACGACTGTTACTGCCCGTGACGACTGTTACTGCCCGTGGCGACTGTTACTGCCCGTGGCGACTGTTACTGCCCGTGGCGACTGTTACTGCCCGTGACGACTGTTACTGCCCGTGACGACTGTTACTGCCCGTGACGACTGTTACTGCCCGTGACGACTGTTACTGCCCGTGACGACTGTTACTGCCCGTGGCGACTGTTACTGCCCGTGACGACTGTTACTGCCCGTGACGACTGTTACTGCCCGTGACGACTGTTACTGCCCGTGACGACTGTTACTGCCCGTGGCGACTGTTACTGCCCGTGACGACTGTTACTGCCCGTGACGACTGTTACTGCCCGTGACGACTGTTACTGCCCGTGACGACTGTTACTGCCCGTGGCGACTGTTACTGCCCGTGGCGACTGTTACTGCCCGTGGCGACTGTTACTGCCCGTGACGACTGTTACTGCCCGTGACGACTGTTACTGCCCGTGGCGACTGTTACTGCCCGTGACGACTGTTACTGCCCGTGACGACTGTTACTGCCCGTGACGACTGTTACTGCCCGTGACGACTGTTACTGCCCGTGGCGACTGTTACTGCCCGTGACGACTGTTACTGCCCGTGACGACTGTTACTGCCCGTGACGACTGTTACTGCCCGTGACGACTGTTACTGCCCGTGACGACTGTTACTGCTCTCATAACATCGCGCTCAACGCCCTGGGCCAGGCGACGATGAGGGAATGGAAACGGGTGGGGGTGGAGTGTGGTGGGGGGGGAGTGTGGTGGGGGGGGTGGAGTGTGGTGGGGGGGTGGAGTGTGGTGGGGGGTGGAGTGTGGTGAGGGGTGGAGTGTGGTGGGGGGTGGAGTGTGGTGGGGGGGTGGAGTGTGGTGGGGGGTGGAGTTTGGTGGGGGGGGTGGAGTGTGGTGGGGGGTGGAGTGTGGTGGGGGGTGGAGTGGTGGGTGGAGTGGGGGTGGTGGCGCTCTTCTGCCAGTCTCCCAGCCGCACCTGCAACACAAAACTGGTTTCCGAACCCGAACGCGCAGAACGCGGAGCGGATCCCTCCGCCGGTGAGGATGACCGAAACGCGCGCCCGGTAAGAGATCTCCCGTCGTGTGTGGTCACGCGAAGCCGGACTGCGGATGAGACACCCAATGTTGAACCAATGCTGATGCAAACTCTGCACTCCCCGCAGGCCGCGTGGCTGACAGGATGTGTGCAATCCGCTCTGTACTCTGCACTCTGCTCCCTTGTTCCACACACGCAGCGGCCACGCTTCGTGCATTTAAAAAAACACACGGCACGGATCGACTCCGCGGAGCCGGAGTCTAAACTCCCCCCCAACCCCCTCATCTTCCCAACTCCCATCGACCACTCCCAGCCCTCCCCAAAACTCAACTTTCATCCCACTAACCCCCCCCCCCGTACTCTGCTCCCTCCCTCCATCCGCCCCACCGAGACTGAACAGAGACGCAGAATGGATTCTTGAATCGTAACCGCGACTCAAGCGTCGGCCCTCCACCCCGAGCCTTGCTCGAGTACTGTGGTGAAGGTGGAGTGTGTACTGTGTGTACTGTGTGTACTGTGGTGAAGATGGAGTGTGTACTGTGGTGTGTGTACAGTGGTGAAGGTGGAGTGTGTACTGTAGTGTGTATACTGTGGTGTTTGTACTGTGTGTACTGTGGTGAAGATGGTTTCTGTTACCGGGTCTGTGCCGTGTCACGAGGCGTGTACCGACGGTTGTGAAAGCACTCCGAACGAGCGCTCACCTTTCCACGGCTCACGCAGAGTATCAACAAAGACGCAAAGCTCCCCCGAGTAGCCCACGGTTCCTGTCGGGGCAAGTTCTGTGAACGAGCCCCGCGCGCCCCTCTCCTACACCCTCCCCCCCTGCACCCCCCCCCTGCACCTCCCCCCCTGCACCTCCCCCCCCCCCCCTGCACCGCGCCCCCCTCTCCACATTCCGCGCCTCTTGCTCCACCACCGTAACCTCCCACGCCCGGCTGCAGCTCCACGCTTCGACTCACCCCACCGCAGCGCACACCCAGCCCGCAGTGCCACGCCCGCCGCTGCCGCTGGGCGCAGGGAGCGGTGAGGGGGGGGGGTGTCTGCGTTCTGTTTGCGCGCAGCGCTCGGCACTTTAAGCGCAGCGCCGGCCCTTAGCCGGACACCTCAACTCAGTTTGCGAGCTTCTGTTATCCCTGCCCCCCGATCGCGTGGGTCCCTGTCTCCGCCTCGCGTCAGGGCGGGCGGTCTGGGAGCAGGGACCCCGAGAAACTCCCTGGAACCCCCTGGACCCGCCTCGCTCCGGGGGCGGCAGGGCGCACGCGCGACTCACCGAGCAGTGGCGCAGAAAGAGACGGCGATCACCAGAGTCAGCCTCGGCGCGCGCCTCTCCGCGCTGTTATATGAGCCCCGCCTGGCCCTGCCCAGCCGGCAGATCGACACGCCCTTGTGCCCACATGAGGAGGGCTTTGTCTCACTTGCCAATTTCAGCGGCTGCAAAAACCCGGAACATGGATTTCTGGAACTCTTGCATCGTGGATTCCCTGCGCCGAGTGAGCTCTGGAGACTTTACACGCGGGGCGCTGCTGCAGAGGAAACTCGGCAGGGCGCGGAGCGGGAATGTAGTGATCTGGTCCAGGTTTTGCTAACAACGTTCTGTGTTGGTGGACCTGGGAGAGGGGGAGGGGTGTTTGAGTCATGAGACCCCTGGGGAGCGGGCGAGGCTCGCGGAGCCACACGAAGACAGTGGAATCTAAAGGAGGGCCGGCGCTGGTGGTGTTGAGACTGATGGGTGATGGTGTAGAGTTCCTGAGCAGTGGTGGATGAGTGGGGAGGTGGGTGGAGGTGGTGGATAGTTAACGTGTTAGTTGGGTAAGTTTGGGGGGTATTGTGATCACCTTCCCGCCGGCCTTGGATACGCGCAGAAGTGACTCGAGTGCGTCTCGAATGTCACGGGTCACACCCCCAGGCTCACATCCCCAGGGTCCCACCCCCGGGGTCCGCTCTCGAGCCTCTCCTCCCCTGGACTCAGGAGGCGCGATCCCACAAGGGACACCGAATCCCTGGCTGGTGAACCCCGTCCTGCTCCATCCACTGCCACACCCAAATCCCCACCCCGACGTTTATCCCCAACACTGCCTCCGTCTAACGCAGTGCGAGTGCCTCTCTCGCTGTCTCAGTCTCTCGTTGTCTCAGTCTCTCGTTGTCTCAGTCTCTCGTTGTGTCTCTCTGCGTTTCTCCGAGTCCCACTGCCTCGCCCCCACATCTCAAGCGACGCCATTCCCGTTCCTCCACCTCCTCCACCTCCTCTCTCCCCACCGTTCCTCCTGATCCCAGGACTAGTCATAACCCTAGCGTTTACCCTGACGCCAACCCAAACCCTCTCTCCAACTCAATCCCAATCATATTCCTGACCCTTTCCCAAACGTCAATGATATCCAGAGCCAGATCTGTACGCCCATTGTCAGCGGTCATCGTCAACATCCGATGTGCCACTCACGCCGCCCCCCCCAGTGACTGCCGCCCCCTTGCCTCTGCTGCCCCCCCCCCCCCCCCCACGGGAACCAGAGAGCAGCTCGCGCTGCACGAGTCGACTCACGGCTACGCCTACTTCGGTCCATGAAATCGGAGCGATTATAATCGATTTTTATCCGTATATCGATTAATCGTTACATGCCCCCATCCTCTGCGTCTACCGCGCCTCGCACCCTCCTCGTGCCCCCCCCCCCCCCCCCCCTCGTGGGGACCCCCCCCCCCCCTTCTGCCCCCTCCCCTCCTTCTCCCCACCTCATAGAAGGGCAGAGCGGACTGTTTAACTTGATGGCTCTGTTCTAAGAGATGCATGGAGATAATTTACAGTGATAATTCACAGCTATTCATCAAATACACTGCTAGATGAGGACCTATCCACGCCGCGTCGGTCATGCCGATTGTTTCACTTCACAGTGCTGGCCGGTGAGGGTTGGCGGTGCGGTGTGCGCCCAGAACCGGTTCATGTATCACTCGCAGCTGATGTTGGTTGAGTTCAAGTTCGCAGTGCGCTAACCACTGCACCACCACTCCACCTGTATACTTGTAGTTTGCGTGCCTCTCTCCCCGTGGTCGTGTGGATTTGTCTCCGGATCTTCCCGTTTTTCCCTCCCCAGTTAGAATGAACATCACGCGTTTAGAGTATTTGGCTGCTGCTATACATTTCCACTTGATGGTGACGATAATCCACTTCGTTGAGCTATCATGTCTAGGCAGGTCGCTTCTGAAGAAGAGCTACACAGCTCAGTGGGACTTACCTGGTGAAATAAAAAAAATGTTTTAGTTTAAAATACGAAGAATATATGAACGTACCTGCCACTGAACGATGGGGGATTAGCAGCTGCTTCTGTGTGGCCGCGTGCGCGCAATTACCTCTTGATGGGCCCCAGTGAACCGAGACGAGGATAATGAAAGGGTGGTGAAAGAGGTGGAGGGGCCGGGGTGGGGGTGAGAGCGACTGCCTGGGGCTAATCTCTCACCAGATGTTCCAGGTCGACGACACGTGACTAGCAGCTGGCACAACCCTTGAGGTATACAGGGTGCGGTGTGCCGGATGCGGACACATGCTCTGGTCGCCGACTAAAAGAACAACAACAGCAGCAGCAGTACTGGTGGGAGGCTCGGGGCAAAGCTCAGGATCTCTGTGCGAGTGTGTGGGTTTCTGTGCGAGTCTATGAGTCTCTGTGCGAGTATATGGGTATCTGTGCAAGTCTATGGGTTTCTGTGTGACTCTATGGGTCTGTGTCTATGGGTTTCTGTGTGAGTATATGGATCTGTGCGAGTATGGGTATCTGTGCGAGTCTGTGGGTCTGAGTCTATGAGTATCTGTGCGAGTCTATGGGTTTCTGTGAGTCTATGGGTTTGAGTTTACGGGTTTCTGTGAGACTATGGGCGTGTGTGAGCATATGGGTCTCTGTGCGAGTCTATGGGTCCCTGTGCGAGTATGGGTCTGAGTCTATGGGTTTCTGTGTGAGTCTATGGGTCTCTGTGTCTCAGTATGTATGTTGAACCTCTTTCGCACCGTACGTAGCCAAACGTGCTAATCGGAGGTGCGGGTCATCAACAACAATCATCGTTCACGATGCGGGAGACTGTCAGGCAGCAGAGGTCGCAATCGGGTACCCGATACCCGTACCCTACCCGATATCCGGCTCCCCGTACCCGGCCGTTTGCGACCTGGTGCGGCCGGGTACGGGTAAGGAATCAAAACCCGTTTGCGACCTCTGCCGGGCAGATTGTCGTGGTAGCTGCGGGTCTCCTACGCAGCAGCTGCGACACCTGGCGGAGGCCAGAGCGCGGTGGTAGCGAGGAGGTGTGGTGGTGGTGGTAACGAGGTTTGGTGTGGTGGTGGTGGTGATGGTGATGGTAGTGGCGGTGGTGGTGGTAGCGAGGTGTGGTGGCGGTGGCAGTGAGGTGTGGTGGTGGTAGCGAGGAGGTGTGGTGGTGGTGGAGGCATCATCGGCTGTGTCCGCGATGCCGTCTCCATGTTTAATAGCAGCAGAAGCTGCTATTAAACATGGAGACGGCAGCAGCAGGGGCAGCAGGGGCAGCAGGGGCAGCAGGGGTAGCAGGGGCAGCAGGGGCAGCAGGGGCAGCAGGGGTCGCGCGACTCCAGCTTCTGCCGTGGGCGGCATCGAGGAGGCGCGGGAGCGAGGTCCCAGCTGGGCCAGCTCGTGGCGAGGAGAGCGGAGACGCTCCGGGGAGGCTCCTCCCCGCGTCCACCTCCTCGCCCCCCCCCCGGTCCGCGTGGCCCCCCGCGGCCCGGGCCGCTGCCGCCCTCTGCTGGGTGGAGCGAGAAGCGCGCGGATCGACACCGGTGACGAAGACGCGGACATTGAACAAAACATAAACAGACACTCGGCGACGTTTCGGGCCATGACCCTTCTTAAGAGCACACACACGTACAGGGGCCAAAGTGATATGAAGAAGGCCCATTGCCCGGAACGTTGCCCATTGCAATGCTCTGTTTCCCTTTTCGGGTCACACACACGGCGTGGTTGAGGAATGCGCTGCGTGGCTGTGTTGACTGCTTGTCCACCTCCTGCTAACGCAGCAGGGGCAGCAGCAGGGGCAGCAGCTCCGGGTTGTTTGCCCGCCCGGTGCACGGGGCTGGGAGTTCGTCCCTCTCGAGACCCATAGAATAACACCCATAGACTCAACATACACACCCCTCCATAGACTTGCACCCATATACTCAACATACACACACCACCATAGACTCACACCCATAGACTCAACATACACACACCCCCATAGACTCACACCCATAGACTCAACATACACACACCTCCATAGACTCACACCCATAGACTCAACATACACACACCCCCATAGACTCACACCCATAGACTCAACATACACACACCTCCATAGACTCACACCCATAGACTCAACATACACACATCTCCATAGGCTCAACATACACACACCTCCACAGACTCACACCCATAGACTCAACATACACACACCTACATAGACTCACACCCATAGACTCAACATACACACACCTCCATAGTCTCACACCCATAGACTCAACATACACACACCCCCATAGACTCACACCCATAGACTCAACATACACACACCTCCATAGACTCACACCTATAGACTCAACATACACACACCTCCATAGACTCACACCCATATACTCAACATACACACACCTCCATAGACTCACCCATAGACTCAACATACACACACCTCCATAGACTCGCACCTATAGACTCAACATACACACAACTCCATAGACTCACACCCATAGACTCAACATACACACACCTCCATAGACTCAACATACACACACCTCCACAGACTCACACCCATAGACTCAACATACACACACCTACATAGACTCACACCCATAGACTCAACATACACACACCTCCATAGTCTCACACCCATAGACTCAACATACACACACCCCCATAGACTCACACCCATAGACTCAACATACACACACCTCCATAGACTCACACCTATAGACTCAACATACACACACCTCCATAGACTCACACCCATATACTCAACATACACACACCTCCATGGACTCACTCCATATACTCAACATACACACACCTCCATAGACTCACCCATAGACTCAACATACACACACCTCCATAGACTCACACACATAGACTCAACATACACACACCTCCATAGACTCGCACCTATAGACTCAACATACACACAACTCCATAGACTCACACCCATAGACTCAACATACACACACCTCCATAGACTCACACCCATAGACTCAATATACACACACCTCCATAGACTCGCACCCATAGACTCAACATACACACACCTCCATAGACTCGCACCCATAGACTCAACATACACACACCTCCATAGACTCGCACCCATAGACTGAACATACACACACCTCCATAGACTCACAGCCATAGAATCAACATACACACACCTCCATAGACTCACACACATAGAGTCAACATACACACACCTCCATAGACTCACACCCATAGACTCAACATACACACACCTCCATAGACTCACATCCATAGACTCAACATACACACACCTCCATAGACTCACACCATAGACTCAACATACACACACCTCCATAGACTCACACCCATATACTCAACATACACACACCTCCATAGACTCAAACCCATAGACTCAACATACACACACCTCTATAGTCTCACACCCATAGACTCAACATACACACACCCCCATAGACTCACACCCATAGACTCAACGTACACACACCTCCATAGACTCACACCCATAGACTCAACATACACCTCCATAGACTCACACCATAGACTCAACATACACACACCTCCATAGACTAACACCCATAAACTCAACATACACACACCTCCATAGACTCACACCCATAGACTCAACATACACACACCTCCATAGACTCACACCCATAGACTCAACATACACACACCTCCATAGACTCACACCCATAGACTCAACATACACACACCTCCATAGACTCACATCCATAGACTCAACATACACACACCTCCATAGACTCACACAATAGACTCAACATACACACACCCCATAGACTCAACATACACACACCTCCATAGACTCACACCCATAGACTCAACATACACACACCTCCATAGACTCACACTATAGACTCAACATACACACACCTCCATAGACTCACACCCATAGACTCAACATACACACACCTCCATAGACTCAGACCATAGACTCAACATACACACACCTCCATAGACTCACACCCATAGATTCAACATACACACATCTCCATAGACTCACACCCATAGACTCAACATACACACACCTCCATAGACTCACACCATAGACTCAACATACACACCTCCATAGACTCACACCCATAGACTCAACATACACACACCTCCATAGACTCACCCATAGACTCCACATACACACACCCCCATAGACTCACACCCATAGACTCAACATACACACACCTCCATAGACTCACACCCATAGACTCAACATACACACACCTCCATAGACTCACACCCATAGACTCACACCCATAGACTCAACATACACACACCTCCATAGACTCAACATACACACACCTCCATAGACTCAACATACACACACCTCCATAGACTCGCACCCATTGACTCAACATACACACACCCCCATAGACTCACACCCATAGACTCAACATACACACACCTCCATAGATTCACACCATAGACTCAACATACACACCCCCCCATAGACTCACACCATAGACTCAACATACACACACCCCCATAGACTCACACGCATAGAATCAACATACACACACCTCCATAGACTCACACGCATAGACTCAACATGGACACACTTCCATAGACTCACACACATAGACTCAACATACACACACCTCCATAGACTCACACCATAGACTCAACATACACACACCCCCATACACTCACACCATAGACTCAACATACACACACCCCCATAGACTCACACGCATAGACTCAACATGCACACACCCCCATAGACTCACACACATAGACTCAACATGCACCCACCCCCATAGACTCACACCATAGACTCAACATACACACACCCCCATAGACTCACACGCATAGACTCAACATGCACACACCCCCATAGACTCACACCATAGACTCAACATACACACACCCCCATAGACTCACACGCATAGACTCAACATGCACACACCCCCATAGACTCACACCATAGACTCAAGATACACACACCCCCATAGACTCACACGCATAGACTCAACATGCACACACCCGCATAGACTCACACACATAGACTCAACATGCACACACCCCCATAGACTCACACCATAGACTCAACATACACACACCCCCATAGACTCACACGCATAGACTCAACATGCACACACCCCCATAGACTCACACCATAGACTCAACATACACACACCCCCATAGACTCACACGCATAGACTCAACATGCACACACCCCCATAGACTCACACCATAGACTCAACATACACACACCCCCATAGACTCACACGCATAGACTCAATATGCACACACCCTGGACTCTAACTCTGGCGCCGCAAAGGTGAGAGTCGTCGTTCTTACCGCTATTCGCGTCGTCGGCACCACCACCACCATCATCGGTCATCGGTCAGTATCTATCCACTGCTGCGTGAAGGCCTCACCAAATCCTCAGCCACCGCTCACGCGTCCTGCGATGCAACAATTCGACCCGACACCTGCGCGATTACCAAATTCGTGGCTCCATCTCCCCGCTGGACGTCGTCTCGGGCGCGTTCTGTCCTTGGGCTGCCACTCCATCGTTAGTCTCGACCAGTGGCCATCGCCCCTTCTAGTAAACATAATCTATCCACTGCTGGATGAAAATCGGTGTGGTTATGTCTCTAACATGCGTGTGTCCCTCTCTCTGTCCCTCAGTGGAATTCCCAACGCGCGCCTCTCCGTGCGTTTTTGCGCATGTCCCCGTGTGTGTTTAGTCGTATTGGCAACGTTTATAATCAGGGTCCTCGTCTACAACAGCCGGCAATTCACCGGAATTGGTTCGAGCGAGCATGACTGCTGATGAGACACAGGTTGTCGAAACCCGTCCAAAAATTTGGCGTCTTAAGACAAGATTCGAAGGTGCCCTCTGGCTTTATTCAATTGTCGTGGCTGCTAACGACCGCGTACGCACGCCCCGCTCGATCGAGTTGGCCTTGTAGGGGTGACGTGCGGCCACTCCCCTCCTCCTGCACCCCTTCCCCTCCTCCCACCCAACCCTCACCTCCCACCCTCCCGTTAAACCTAATACGGCTCTTTGCGAGGAGCGTTGCAGTCAAAACTTCTCGGCGCGGAGTCGACGGGAGCGGAGAGTCCTCAAGAAATCCGCGACGCCGTCTCTCTCCCTCCGTCTCTACATTTGTTTCTGCCACTCGCCTCGCTGTCTCCATCTCTCGCTGTCTCCATCTCTCGCTGTCTCCGCCTCTCGGTGTCTCCGCCTCTCGGTGCTTCTCTCCCCGCCGCTGTCTCCCTGTCTCGTTGTCCCTCTGCGTCTTCTCTCCGTCTCTCGGAGTCTCTCGTTTTTAGTTTTTGTAGCTCGTGTCTCTGGCTGCTCCCCGCCCCACCTCGCGGTGCTGAAGAGGGGTCTTCGTGCGATCCAGGTGAGTTCCAACGAGGTCTCGTGGCCCTCCCACCCGACACCCCCCTTGCCCCCGAGGAGGACCCCGGTGGGGATCGTCCACTGGGTTCCTGATTTCTCGGCTGTGCTGCGGCCGAATGAACCCCCGTCCCGGGCCCCTCGCGGGCCCACGCCGCGCCTGCCTTGGCGAGACGGAGTCGCCGGGCCCCCCAATTGGCACCGAGCGCGTCGCGCCGCGTGGCTCGCGATCATCAAAGCCGCGCAAGACGCCGGCTCGAGTTCATTGGCGCAGTTTTCCACGAAGAACGCCGGCTCCGGCCAATTAGCGAGCCGCACTCCCCACGGCCTGCCGCGTGCGCGCTAATTAAAGGGTCCACGTGGCCTGCCGCGCGCGCTAATTGTGGCACAACTGAGCACGGTCTCGCGCTAATGGTAATAATTAGGACCGCCTCGCGCGCCGACTCAAGGATACTTGACGATTGGCTCGAACATTTGGCGCAATGAGTGCCCGTGGCTCGGCGTGGAGAGGTGGGGGTGCGGGGTAGGGGGCACACGCATCCTCCCGGTACCATCGCCGTGGTGGCACAAATGCGTGTTTTGTGTGAACTCGGGAACCGCCTCTTACCTAAGAGTTCGCGCCGTGGCGGTGAAGCCCGATCGCGTGCGCGTGCGTGCCGTGCGCGTGCGCGTGCGTGCCGTGCGCGTGCGTGCCGCGCGCGTGCGCGTGCGTGCGGTTGGCGCTACGCTGCGTGCGAACCCGGCGGTCAGAATTCGATTTCCGTTCACGGTCAACACCGATTTTCTGAACCGAGTCCTGGGTCTCCCCTAAGTCGACTCAGCCTCAAATTGGTAGCTGGTACGCTGTGTAATCATCGCCACCAAGGAGACAAAGGCGGCCGGGCGTAGTGCCGGCGACCCACCCCCTCGTGTGCCGTCTTGTCATTCATAAGTGATCGGTGACAGCACTAGCCCCAACAGTCTGTAAGTCTAAACAGGGGGGTCTTTGTATATGTGCGTGCGTATCAATATCTGCGTGTATCCGTGCGCGCCCTCAATTGCGCTCCAACCCGTCTTGCGCCCACCTCCTTCCCCGACTACTCCGAGCCAGGCCGAGCACCCCCTGCTGCTCGTCGTTAGAGGGCATTCGAGAGGGCAGCTGGCAGCCATGCCCCCCAGCCTTGCCCGGGCGCACAGCAGGCGCTGGTGGATGGCCGTGAGCGCCGTGCTGGAGAATCTGCTGCTGAGCGCCGTGCTGCTGGGTTGGGGGTCCCTGCTCATCATGCTCAAGTCGGAGGGCTTCTACTCGCACCTGTGCAGCGACAGCCCAGGTGCGTGGGGGCCCAGGTGTACGGGGGTCCAGATGTATGAGAGTCCAAGGGCGTAGGGACACAGGTGTGTGTGGGGTTCCAGGGGCGTGGAGACCCGACCCTGGCTGCCGGATCCCGTCTCATCTTGTCCCAACCGGTGTCTCTTGTGTCCCCGTGTCCCCTCTTCACATAATACTGAACCACGGCCAGTGCGCTCCACACTTCAGCTCGGGCACATGTTTGCTTGTCTATCTGTGTGTGTGTCTCGCCGTGTCTCGCCGTGTCTCCGCGTCTCGCTGCGTCTCCGCGTCTCCCTGTGTCTCCGAGTCTCGCTGTGGCTCTTCTTGTACCTCGGTGTCTCGGAAGGAAACCATCTGTGAGAGGCGAGAGGCCATTCCGGGGTGCATGGTGATGTGAGAGAGAGGGCGGCATACTTCAGCGGAATCCGCCCCCACGCGCTCACACACACGCGCACTCACACACACGTGCGCTCACACACATAACCACAACGAACACACACACAATGCACACCCCCCCCCAACAGTGGACACACCGACACGTGCACAAACACAGCGGACACTCACGCACAGTGACACACACAAAGACAAATATCCCCCCCCCGTATAGCATTAACAGACTGTTGGGGCAAGTGCTGTTAGCGAGCACCCTTGAAGGTCGGCACGGCACACGAGGGGATGGGTGGTCATCTCACACACACGTGTACACACACAAGTGTACACACACAAGTGTACACACACATGTACACACACACGTGTACACGTGGCTGTACCGAGCGGCTATAGGGAGCGGGGTTCATGGGTGAGGTGGGGGCGGCGGGGAAGACCCCCCCCCGACCCCCTAACCTAGGGGGTGGCAACCTGCGGCTCTTTAAAGAGCCGCACGCGTCTTCAGATTTTGTTGCCGAATTCTTGACAAGAGAAAGACCTCGTCTTGTTAGTTTGTTTGTCGCCTCCTGCCCCGACTCGTCCCAGGGCCCGCGAGTGACTCAAGTTCGAGTTCACCTCCACGACCTCGACACCTTTTCGCCCCCCCCTCCCCCCACGGGAACCCCGGCAGGTTCTGCAAACACGAGGCCCTGACGCCTCCACTCGGAGACGCGAGGAGGAGGAGGGGGGGCGGTGTTTGTTCTAGGGGGGGGGGGGGTCTAGCGACCTTCACGGGATCCAGCGCCGCGTTCGATCTCAAGACGCCCCCTCCCTCCCTTAGCCCCCCCCCCCCCACTACTCTAGCCCCCCCCCTACTCTAGCCCCCCCCTACTTTAGCCCCCCCCTACTCTACCCCCCCCCCCCCCACTGGTGGCCAGAAGCCCCGGACTCATGTGCAGTGTTGTGACGTATGATGGTGAGTGACCCCAGTGAGTGACCCCAGTGATGGTGACCCCTGTGATGGTGAGTGGCCCCAGTAATGGTGACTCCTGTGATGGTGAGTGACCTCACTGATGTTGAGTGACCCCAGTGAGTGACCCCAGTGATGGTGACCCCTGTGATGGTGAGTGACCTCAGTGAGTAACTCCACTGATGGTGAGTGACCTCAGTGATGGTGAGTGACCCCCGTGATGGTGATCCCTGTGATGGTGAGTGACCTCAGTGAGTGACCCCACTGATGGTGACCCCACTGATGGTGAGTGACCTCAGTGATGGTGACCCCTGTGATGGTGAGTAACCCCAGTGATGGTGACCCCACTGATGGTGAGTGACCCCAGTGAGTACAGAGAGGCGAGGGGATGAGTCCACCTGACGTGCTTGGTGCAGGAAGACTGCCCCGTACCCCCCCCCCCCCCAGGACAAAGGAGCCCCCCACCGCAACTCTACGAGTCAGGATCCTGCCCCCCCCCCCCACACTTTCAGTGCCGCCTGCAAACCTCTCCCTGTGAGCTATGAGCTAATGTCTCCCCGGTCCCCCCATCCTCCCCTGCCCGCCCCCCACTCGCACCCCCTGTATGAACGCATCTTCCCAAGGGCCGTAACCGCAACAGCGCCCCCCATCTCCACCCCCGGCCCCCCGGCCCACTGCCAGACACAATGCCGCCCCCTCCCCAGTGCCCTCCTACCGCTCCCGCCAGGGTGCAAGAGACAATGCCGCCCCCCACTGCCCTAGCCCCCTGGGACAAGACACAAAGACACAATGCTGGGCCCCGCCCTGACAGCCCCTCCCCCTCAAGGCGGGCTACGAGTAGGAGAGGTCACCTTAAACACCCCACACTCACCACACTCACCACTCACCACACTCAACACCACGCACCACTCACCACACTCACCACTCACCAGCACTCCACACTCACCACACTCACCACTCACCACACTCACCACTCTCACCAGCACCCCACACTCACCACACTCACCACACTCACCACTCACCACACTCACCACTCTCACCAGCACTCCACACTCACCACCCTCAACACCACGCACCACTCACCACACTCACCACTCACCAGCACTCCACACTCACCACCACACACTCACACAGAGACCCATATACTCACATAGAGACACACAGATTCACACAGAGACCCATATACTCACATAGAGACACACACACTCACACAGAGACCCATATACTCACATAGAGACACACACACTCACACAGAGACCCATATACTCACATAGAGACACACAGATTCACACAGAGATCCATATACTCACATTGAGACACACAGATTCACACAGAGATCCATATACTCACATAGAGACACACAGAGTCACATAGAGACCCACAGACTTACATAAAGACCCATAGACTCACATAGAGACCCACAGACTCACACAGAGACCCATAGACTCACATTGAGATCCACAGACTCACATAGAGACCCACAGACTCACATAGAGACTCACAGACTCACATAGAGACCCACAGACTCACATAGAGACCCACAGACTCACATAGAGACCCATAGACTCACATAGAGACCCACATACTCACACAGAGACCCACAGACTCACACAGAGACCCACAGACTCACACAGTGACCCACAGACTCACACAGAGACCCACAGACTCACACAGAGACCCATAGACTCACAGAGACCCATAGACTCACATAGAGACCCACAGACTCACACAGAGACCCACAGACTCACACAGAGACCCACAGACTCACACAGAGACACATAGACTCACACAGAGACCCACAGACTCACATAGAGACCCACAGACTCACACAGAGACACACAGACTCACACAGAGACCCACAGACTCACACAGAGACACACAGACTCACACAGAGACCCATAGACTCACAGAGACCCACAGACTCACATAGAGACCCACAGACTCACACAGAGACCCACAGACTCACACAGTGACCCACAGACTCACACAGAGACACACAGACTCACACAGAGACCCACAGACTCACACAGAGACACACAGACTCACACAGAGACCCATAGACTCACAGAGACCCACAGACTCACACAGAGACCCACAGACTCACACAGTGACCCACAGACTCACACAGAGACACACAGACTCACACAGAGACCCACAGACTCACACAGAGACCCACAGACTCACACAGAGACCCATAGACTCACATAGAGACCCACAGACTCACACAGAGACACACAGACTCACACAGAGACCCACAGACTCACACAGAGACCCGCCAACAAGTCCACGAGGCAGCTCGCAGTGCTCCCCCCACCCACTTCCTGCGCCACCCCACGCAAGAGCTTCGCTCTTAAACTAATTAGTTGACATGTATTCATTAGTCACTTAATTTGTCGATTGATTGGGCAAAGACAGCACTTGGCGGGACTCTCCGTGAGTCTTGAGACTGAGCGCGCCTCTCCTGGATGATGCGCGTGGGGACGGTGACCGCCGCCGCCGTGTGACTCTGCAGCCTCGGGCTCTCTTCAACTTTCGCTCGACGACTTTGTTTGCATTTCTTAGCGAACCACAGCAACGCCTCCTCCTCCTCCTCGCCCTCCTCGCCGTCATCGGCGGTGCTGGCACTGCTGGCCGGGAACGCGAGCGCGCCTCCTCCTCCTCCCCCGCTCTCCGCGCACGCCCGGGGGTGGGCGGTGTGCCGCGATCAGGACGAGGTCCTGAACCTCGCCTTCACCGTGGGCTCCTTCCTGCTCAGCGCCGTCACGCTGCCCCTCGGCATCGTCATGGACAGATACGGCCCGCGCAAGATCCGCCTCGTGGGCAGGTGAGGGTGCGGGCTGGGGAGGGTGCGGGCTGGGAGGGTGCGGGCTGGGAGGGTGCGGGCTGGGGAGGGTGCGGGCTGGGAGGGTGCGGGCTGGGGAGGGTGCGGGCTGGGGAGGGTGCGGGCTGGGGAGGGTGCAGGCTGGGAGGGTGCGGGCTGGGAGGGTGCGGGCTGGGGAGCTAATACAGCTCAGTGGGCCTTACCTGGTAAACATTGATTAGTTGATGGTTCAGTTTTGCTTTGCACCCGGGACACCAGAGCCGAATCACGGCACCCGCACCACCCCTCCGTAGGCACTCGCAGTCCCCTCGCCGCGCCGTCGGGTCGATGGTGAACAAACAGCCCAGGGAATGTCAAGTGCATGTTTTATTCGTGGGCCCCTCTGGAGTTGTTTGGCTCTCGACAAAGATCCCGCGAGCCCCCGGCAGAGAGCCAGGGACGGGGTCTGTGCACACAAGCGGCTGTGTGGCTGTCGTGCCCGGCATTGGTCACTCGCTACCCCCTGCCGCCCCCTCACCCCCGCAGCTCAAGCTTCATGCTCTCGTGTCTTCTCATCGCGTATGGAGCGAGCAACCCCAAGAGTGAGTCCCCTGAAGCCACCACAACCCCACGGGGATTCATACCTGACCCCTGACCCCCAGGGCCCACACCCCCCCACCCCCCCCCATCTGCCCAGACCACCGCGGTCCTGTCCTCGACCCCCAAACCCCGGAACCCATCCCCCGCTCCCCCCCTCACCCCCCTCACCCCCCCTCACCCCCCTCACCCCCCCTCACCCCTCACACCCCTCCCCCCTCCCCGTGAGCCCCACGCAGCCCCGTACTGGACCGAGGCGGCCCTCGCTCTGCTGCTGCTGCTGCCGCTGCGTCGTGGCGGCGTGCGGGTGGATCGGGATACAGCGATCACGTCGCAGCCAGGGGCACACACAAACAACTATCCTTGTTAACAATTATAATTGTTATTAGTGTGTGCGCGCGTGTGCAATGATCCTCACCCGGATTCAACCCCAACCCGAGCTCCAAGTAGAGGCCACACCTCTAACCCAAGCGCTGATTCTGACCTCTACGCCACATTCTAACCCCGACCCTGACTCGAACCTCCAGGCGTCATCGTAATCCTGATGCTGGCGCTGACCCTGACGCTAGCCCTGACCCTGACCCCAGCCCTGACCCCAGCCCTGACCCCAGCCTGACCCTGACCCCAGCCTGACCCTGACGCTAGACCTGACCCCAGCCTGACCCCAGCCCTGACCCCAGCCCTGACCCTGATGCTAGCCCTGACCCTGATCCCAGCCCTGACCCTGACCCCAGCCTGACCCTAGACCTGACCCCAGCCCTGACCCCAGCCTGACTCTGACCCCAGCTCTGCCCCCAGCTCTGACCCTGACCCCAGCCTGACCCTGACCCCAGCCTGACCTTGACGCTAGACCTGACCCCAGCCCTCACCCTGTCTCCCCAGCTCTGTCCGTGCTCATCTTCGTGGCGCTGTCGCTGAACGGCTTTGGCGGCATGTGCATCGTCTTCTCCTCGCTCACGGTGCGTCGTCTCCAGCGACCCCAACTAGATCCCCGCGCACGGCCAACACCAGTGACGATTATCTGAACCGGTTTTGCGCCTCGCCTCGGTCGACTCAACCTTAAATGCTTACCTTGGGTGATGTGCCAATGTCGCCCCAAGGGAGACATAGGCGGCTGGGGGTCACGCTGACCACCAACCCCCTTGTGTGTCGTGCTGGCCTTAATAGGTGCTCGCTAGCGGCACTTTAGCCCAACAGTCTGTGGTGAGTGTGCAGTGGGTGAGTGTGATGCCTGTGGTGAGTGTGCAGTGGGTGAGGTGGTGTCACGCGCGCAGGTGAGGCGAGGTTTGAGGCAGCGCCACGTGAAGGGGTTGGGAGGGGGGCTGTGTGTGTAGGGGATGTGTGTGTGTAGGGGCTGTGTGTGTGTAGGGGATGTGTGTGTGTGTGTTGGGACTGTGTGTAGGGGTTGTGTGTGTAGGGGCTGTGTGTGTAGGGGCTGTGTGTGTAGGGGCTGTGTATGTGTAGGGGCTGTGTGTGTGTAGGGGTTGTGTGTGTTGGGGCTGTGTGTAGGGGTTGTGTGTGTAGGGCTGTGTGTGTTGGGGCTGTGTGTGTATAGGAGCTGTGTGTGTAGGGGCTGTGTGTGTGTAGGGGCTGTGTGTGTAGGGGCTGTGTGTGTTGGGGCTGTGTGTGTGTAGGGGTTGTGTGTGTAGGGGCTGTGTGTGTAGGGGCTGTGTGTGTGTGTGTGTAGGGCTGTGTTTGTAGGGGCTGTGTGTGTGTGTAGGGGTTGTGTGTGTTGGGGCTGTGTGTGTGTAGGGGTTGTGTGTGTAGGGGCTGTGTGTGTGTAGGGGCTGTGTGTGTAGGGGTTGTGTGTGTTGGGGTTGTGTGTGTGTAGGGGCTGTGTGTGTAGGGGCTGTGTGTGTGTAGGGGCTGTGTTTGTAGGGGCTGTGTGTGTGTGTAGGGATGTGTGTGTGTAGGGGTTGTGCGTGTAGGGGCTGTGTGTAGGGGCTGTGTGTGTAGGGGCTGTGTGTGTGTAGGGGCTGTGTGTGTGTGTGTGTTGGGACTGTGTGTGTGTAGGGGCTGTGTGTGTGTGTTGGGGCTGTGTGTGTGTGTGTGTAGGGGTTGTGTGTGTGTGTGTGTAGGGGCTGTGTGTGTGTTGGAGCTGTGTGTGTGTGTAGGGGTTGTGTGTGTGTTGGGGCTGTGTGTGTTTGGGCTGTGTGTTGGGGCTGTGTGTGTGTGTGTGTAGGGGTTGTGTGTGTAGGGGCTGTGTGTGTGTGTGTGTAGGGGCTGTGTGTGTGTATGTAGGGGCTGTGTTTGTGTAGGGGCTGTGTGTGTTGGGGCTGTGTGTGTTGGGGCTGTGTGTGTTGGGGCTGTGTGTGTTGGGGCTGTGTGTGTAGGGGTTGTGTGTGTAGGGGCTGTGTGTGTAGGAGCTGTGTGTGTGTGTTGGGGCTGTGTGTGTGTGTTGGGGCTGTGTGTGTTGGGGCTGTGTGTGTAGGGGTTGTGTGTGTAGGGGCTGTGTGTGTGTGTTGGGGCTGTGTGTGTGTGTTGGGGCTGTGTGTGTTGGGGCTGTGTATGTGTGTTGGGGCTGTGTGTGTTGGGGCTGTGTGTGTTGGGGCTGTGTGTGTAGGGGTTGTGTGTGTAGGGGTTGTGTGTGTAGGGGCTGTGTGTGTGTGTTGGGGCTGTGTGTGTGTGTTGGGGCTGTGTGTGTTGGGGCTGTGTGTGTAGGGGTTGTGTGTGTAGGGGTTGTGTGTGTAGGGGCTGTGTGTGTGTGTTGGGGCTGTGTGTGTTGGGGCTGTGTGTGTTGGGGCTGTGTATGTGTGTTGGGGCTGTGTGTGTTGGGGCTGTGTGGGCAGCGCGGGGCCCCGGCTCGCATGGCCAGGTCAGAGGGGGGCGTTGCCGCGAGCCCGGCCCGCGATTGGCCCTCGACCTCGACCCCCGTCGGCTGCCCCACGCCGGGGCCCGCGCCGTGACGCGCCCAACACGACGACAAAACACAACTCAAAACAAGCGAAGGCCAAGTTGGTGACCCCGCACGAACGACCCCCCCCCCCACCACTCCAGCCCCGCCCCCCCACCGCCCCTACCTGAGCAGGGTCACCTTCCCAGTGCCCACGAGTCCCAGGCACCCCCCCACCCCCACCACCCCCACCCCCACGCTGCCGCCGTGGTCACGCGTGCGCACGAACACACGCGGGCATGCGGGAATGTAGCGTGGGATGGTGTGTCTGTGTGCCTGTGTGTGTAGGGGTGTGTGCCTGTGTGTGTAGGGGTGTGTGCCTGTGTGTGTAGGGGTGTGTGCCTGTGTGTGTAGGGGTGTGTGTAGGAGTGTATGTTTTTGGAGGTGTGTCTGTGTGCCTGTGTGTGTGTAGGGGTGTGTGTTTGTGTGTGTGCGTGTGTGTGTGGAGCGGTGGTGTCGAGATTAGCGCGCTGCGCTACGAACCTGGCGACCCGGGTTCGATTCCCGCTCACGGCCAACACCAGTGACGATTATTTGAACCGGTCCTAGGTCGACTAGAGGAGGTCCTGGGGAGACAAAGGCGGCCGGGCGTGGTCCTGGCCACCCACCCCCTCGTGTGCCATGCTGGCCTTCATAGGTGCTCGCGAATAGCACTTGCCCCAACAGTCTGTTCAGGCTATATGGGGGATCTTTGTCTGTCTGTCTGTGTGTCTGTGTGTCTGTCTGTATGTGTCTGTCTATGGCTCTGTGCTTCAGTGATGACGTGGGACAGCTGTTAAACGGTCTTTGGTCGTCTTCAAGCCGATTCGTGATCGCCCGTGACAAAGCAGCTATGAGCTGCAAAGACAAAGATCCCCCGTATAGCCTGACCAGACTGTTGGGGCAAGTGCACAGCACACGAGGGGGTGGGTGTCCAGCACCACCCCCCGGCCGCTTCGTCTCCCCAGTGGCGATGTTTAAACACCGCACCAGATACTTATTTGAGACTGAGTCGACCTAGGGGAGGCCCAGGACCGGTTTAAAATGTTCTTCACTGTCGCCGGGTTCGTTGCGCGTCCTATGAGTCGACCCCTGAAGCGTCACCTGGTTTGAAAGGAGGAGCGGTGGGGGGGGGGCAGGTAACGTGAAGCAAACTCCCTCGGAATCCGCGGTGAGAGGCCCGTGCACGAGGCGAGGTTGCACGACAACAAGTCGCGACTTGACCCGTTCAGAAGCGGCTGGTGAGGGGGTGGCGTGACGCCTTGCACAGGGAGCTGCAGCTGCGTGTCGCGCACTGCGCTACGAACCCGGCGACACGAGTTCGATTCCCGCTGACGACCAACACCAGCGACGATTAACTGTTAAGGGCCTCCGCTATGTCGACTCAGCTCCAAATGAGTACCTGGTGTAGTTTGTAATCGTCACCACTGGGGAAACAAAGGCGGCCGGGCGTGGTGTTGGCCACGCACCCCCTCGTGTTCCGTGCCGGCCTTCATAGGTGCTTGCTAACAGCACTTGCCCCAACAGTCTGTTAAAGCTACACGGGGCATCTTTGTGTGTGTGTGTGTATGTTGCGCGGTGTGTGTACAAAGTTTGCACAAAATCAGCAATGTGGTGCAGCCCCTCCTGTCTCTGACAGTCCTCGTTCTCCACGCCACCGGTGGCATCAGCACGTGCTGTGAGGACGTCAACGCCAAGAGTGGGACATTAGAGTCGTACGACCCCAACCATGAAATAACACAAATAAAGACTCCTCGAGACACACACACACACAGATATAGAGATGCACTAAAGACGAGCAGCAGCAGGACCTCGAGCTCTTGAACCACAGCGCTGCTGTTGCTGCTGCTGTTGCTGCTGCTGTTGCCATATTTTGGACTGTGGCTGTGTGTGTGTGTGCGTGCTGCTGTACGCGGTGTGTGATGACACGTGTCCCCTTCCCACCCCAGCTGCCCAACTTGTTTGGGAACCTGCGCTCCACATTCATCGCGCTCATGGTGGGCTCCTACGCCTCCGCCGCCGTCACCTTCCCTGCGGTCAAGGTCAGCTTGGGCAGCGAGTGGGGGCAAGGCGCCCCCACCCCCCTCCATGATGTCAACTACTCCCATAACTCTAAGAGCCATATCTAACGCTGACCACAACTCTATCGGCATCGTCAGTTCTAACCGTGATTCTAACCACACTTCTATACCTATCATTACGCCTAACGCGATCACGTTCATGAACCGCAGCATTAACCACACCACTATCCCTATCATCAACCCTATCACTAACCCTAATGTGATCACGATCATTCATCTTAGTCCTCATTATACACCCCATAGCCCTAAACCAAACACTAACACCAAACTCACCACGCTACCCATACCCCCTAATTCCAATGCAGCGGCATCCATCCTCAGCATCTCCCGGCCTTTTTTCCCCCTTGAGCGTGTCCTCACCTGCCCAGGTGACACACAGCCCCCCTCCGCCCCCCCCCCAGGTGCTGTATGACGCGGGCGTGCCCTTCGTGTGGCTGCTGCTGGGCTGGGCACTGCTGGCGGTGCTCGTCTTCGCCAACTGCTTCATGCACTGGCCCCTGGAGCCGTTCCCCGCTCCGGAGGAGATGGACTACGCGTGCGTTAGCACTTGGTCACCCCACGGAGAGAAAGGCCTCGCCGAGTCTCGTGGTTATCTTTCAGGGGGGTCCTGCCACGTTATCGTAGCAGCGGGGGGGGGGGGGGGCTATAATGATGTTGTACGGTACTCTGCACAAATTACTCAACACAGTGACGATCATCGCCCCCTGCTGGCACCAGACAAATGCCCCGGGGGCACTCTCGCCACTGACACTCTCACCTGGTTAAACTAAACCAACTTGAGTCATCACCTGGTTAAACTAAACCAACTTGAGCTATCACCACCTGGTTAAACTAAACCAACTTGAGTCATCACCTGGTTAAACTAAACTAACTTGAGTCATCACCTGGTTAAACTAAACCAACTTGAGTCATCACCTGGTTAAACTAAACCAAATTGAGTCATCACCTGGTTAAACTAAACCAACTTGAGTCATCATCTGGTTAAACTAAACCAACTTGAGTCATCATCTGGTTAAACTAAACCAACTTGAGTCATCATCTGGTTAAACTAAACCAACTTGAGTCATCATCTGGTTAAACTAAACCAACTTGAGTCATCACCTGGTTAAACTAAACCAACTTGAGTCATCTCCTGGTTAAACTAAACCAACTTGAGTCATCACCTGGTTAAACTAAACCAACTTGAGTCATCACCTGGTTAAACTAAACCAACTTGAGTCATCACCTGGTTAAACTAAACCAACTTGAGTCATCATCTGGTTAAACTAAACCAACTTGAGTCATCACCTGGTTAAACTAAACCAACTTGAGTCATCATCTGGTTAAACTAAACCAACTTGAGTCATCTCCTGGTTAAACTAAACCAACTTGAGTCATCACCTGGCTAAACTAAACCAACTTGAGTCATCACCTGGTTAAACTAAACCAACTTGAGTCATCACCTGGTTAAACTAAACCAACTTGAGTCATCATCTGGTTAAACTAAACCAACTTGAGTCATCACCTGGTTAAACTAAACCAACTTGAGTCATCATCTGGTTAAACTAAACCAACTTGAGTCATCATCTGGTTAAACTAAACCAACTTGAGTCATCATCTGGTTAAACTAAACCAACTTGAGTCATCACCTGGTTAAACTAAACCAACTTGAGTCATCACCTGGTTAAACTAAACCAACTTGAGTCATCATCTGGTTAAACTAAACCAACTTGAGTCATCACCTGGTTAAACTAAACCAACTTGAGTCATCACCTGGTTAAACTAAACCAACTTGAGTCATCATCTGGTTAAACTAAACCAACTTGAGTCATCACCTGGTTAAACTAAACCAACTTGAGTCATCACCTGGTTAAACTAAACCAACTTGAGTCATCATCTGGTTAAACTAAACCAACTTGAGTCATCACCTGGTTAAACTAAACCAACTTGAGTCATCACCTGGTTAAACTAAACCAACTTGAGTCATCACCTGGTTAAACTAAACCAACTTGAGTCATCATCTGGTTAAACTAAACCAACTTGAGTCATCACCTGGTTAAACTAAACCAACTTGAGTCATCACCTGGTTAAACTAAACCAACTTGAGTCATCACCTGGTTAAACTAAACCAACTTGAGTCATCACCTGGTTAAACTAAACCAACTTGAGTCATCACCTGGTTAAACTAAACCAACTTGAGTCATCACCTGGTTAAACTAAACCAACTTGAGTCATCATCTGGTTAAACTAAACCAACTTGAGTCATCACCTGGTTAAACTAAACCAACTTGAGTCATCACCTGGTTAAACTAAACCAACTTGAGTCATCACCTGGTTAAACTAAACCAACTTGAGTCATCACCTGGTTAAACTAAACCAACTTGAGTCATCACCTGGTTAAACTAAACCAACTTGAGTCATCATCTGGTTAAACTAAACCAACTTGAGTCATCACCTGGTTAAACTAAACCAACTTGAGTCATCACCTGGTTAAACTAAACCAACTTGAGTCATTACCTGGTTAAACTAAACCAACTTGAGTCATCATCTGGTTAAACTAAACCAACTTGAGTCATCACCTGGTTAAACTAAACCAACTTGAGTCATCACCTGGTTAAACTAAACCAACTCCTCTAGATTCTAATGGAGGAAATCGTGGAAATTTGTTTTAATTTAAGCAAATTTGGACCGTCATGCCGACACACAATGGCCCACCCCTACTACACCCCAATCTCACTACGCCCCGCTCCCACTACGCCCTCGGTGTTATTCGGGGCGGCTGCTGGATTCGAACCGTGAACCTCTGAAACAAGCGAGGAGCACGCGTCAGGGTCCACATTCGGGCTACGCATAGCGATCACCGCCCCCCACTCCCAAAACGAACACTGGGCAGGACCCTCCTGACAAAGAGCCCTGAGATCCGGCGAGGTTCTCGTGGGTGAGCACGCGGGGTGTGAACGGTGAATCACCGTCTGACGTTCGCCGACGTCGGTGGCGCCAACGTCAGCTGCGGCCCAGGCACCGCGGCCCACGACTGCGACTCTGGTCACGAACAGTCGACGTAGGACATCTGCAAGCGTTCACTGCGTCGGCAGGAAGCCAATTATGGGTCAAGGTTCTGGTTATCGAGTTGGGGAGAGGCGGCGTTGTGTGGGTGGGGGAGGGCTCTGAGCCACTTCCCCACCCCGCCGCACTCAGGTGCGCTCTGCATCCACAGCCTCTCTGGATCGAGTCCCCTTGTGATTCGAGTCTACGAGTCGACTCAATGTAAGCCGAGGTCTCCGTGCCGTGTTTGTATCCCTCCGTGGGCCCCGCGCGCCAGGCTGAGGATGAAGCTGTCGTGGCTGGGCCTCGAGCACAGGGTGACAGGGCCCCGCTTCTCCTCCTACCTCTCCTCTGTGGGCCAGCGCCTGAGCGCGACCCCCGGGGCCGACGCAACAACCAAGGGCCGAGCGGAGGGTTACCTGGGGGCCCCCAACGCGCCCGCTGGCAACGGTACGTGGGCAGCGCTGAGGTTGGGGGACGGAGGGATGGGGATGAGGTGGGATGGGAGGAGGGATGGGGGGGAGGAGGGATGGAGGGATGGAGGGGAGGAGGAGGGATGAGGAGGAGGGATGGGAGGAGGTGGGGAGGGGAAGAGGAGGGATGGGGAAGAGGAGGGATGGGGAGGAGGGATGGTAGGAGGAGGGATGGGAGGAGGAAGGATGGGGAGGAGGAGGGATGGAGGGGAGGAGGGATGGGAGGAGGAGGGATGGGGAGGAGGAGGGATGGGGAGGAGGGATGGGGAGGAGGAGGGATGGGGAGGAGGAGGGATGGGGGGGGAGGAGGGATGGAGGGAAGGAGGGATGGGGAGGAGGAGGGATGGGAGGAGGAGGGATGGGGGGGAGGAGGGATGGAAGGAGGAGGGATGGGAGGAGGAGGGATGGGGGGAGGAGGGATGGGAGGAGGAGGGATGGGAGGAGGAGGGATGGGAGGAGGAGGGATGGGAGGAGGAGGGATGGGAGGAGGAGGGATGGGAGGAGGAGGGATGGGAGGAGGAGGGATGGGAGGAGGAGGGATGGGAGGAGGAGGGATGGGAGGAGGAGGGATGGAGGAGGGATGGGAGGAGGAGGGATGGGAGGAGGAGGGATGGGAGGAGGAGGGATGGGAGGAGGAGGGATGGGAGGAGGAGGGATGGGAGGAGGAGGGATGCGGTGGGGAATTCATTTCAGCCGGGTCCGTCCGCGTCGTTGAGCCGAGGAATATGTCCTCACCCGACACCACCACGTTCAGTGTACATCTCGCTGTGGCTACGAGACTCGAAGGCACGCGCCACGTCCTCCTCCCGTGTGCAAGCGCCCCGCCGGAAAACATTCGCCGAGGAATTAAAGCTGCGTTTGGAACTATCGCACTTGACCTTAGAAGCACCCGTTCCGTGGTAGGAGAGGGCAACTGAGAAAGGGCAGCGGACCGAAACGTCGGGCGTTTCTCAGCGGGACCACGTCCTTGCCGATTGCCGCGTTGCGCAACGTCGCAGCGCCGTGTGTCACAAC